CCTCCATCTCCGGAACGCCTCATGAATGGCTAGTAGTTCTCGGTCATACACCGTGTAGTTCCTCTCGGATTTGTTCAGCTTTCGCGAAAAAAGGCACACGGTCTCCACTCTGACCCCTTCTTGCCTGGCTGCAGAAGCACCGCCCCAATCGCTCTGTCTGATGCGTCAGTTTCCACTCTCATCGGTTTTTGTAAATCCACATGCAGGAGTTGTTGTTCCGAGGCGAAGGCCCTTTTAGTTCCTCAAATGCTCGCTCCGCCTCCTCAGTCCACACGAACTTCTTCTTACTGCTGAGACAGTCCGTAATGGGCGCCGTCAGGTGGGCAAAGTTTCGGATGAACTTACGATAGAAGTTCCCAAATCCTAGGAACCTCTGCACATCCTTCTTTGTTTTGGGTGCTTTCCATTCCAGCACAGCCTGGACCTTGCCGGGATCCATGGCCAATCCCTTGTCTGACAGGCGATACCCCAGGAATTCCACCTCCTTGGTATGAAACTGACACTTCTCCAGTTTCACCCACAGCTGGTTGGCTTGCAGCCTGCTCAACACTTCTCTGACGTCTCTCACATGCTGCTCCTCATTCTCAGAATACACCAACACGTCGTCTAAAAAGGCCACACAATTCTTGTAAAGCAAAGGCCCCAGGACGTGGTTCATAAACGATTGAAAGGTTGCGGAGCCTGCTTGGAGGCCGAAGGGCATAACCAAATATTCAAATGCCCCTAAAGGGGTGAACATAGTGGTTTTCCATTCATCCCCCTTCCTTATTCGTACCAGGTTGTACGCCCCCCTTAGGTCCAGCTTTGTAAAAATCTTTCCCTTCCGCACCCTTGTCAAAATGTCGTCAATCCTGGGCATAGGGAAGGCTACTGGTTCTGACACTGCATTTAAGGCCCTGAAGTCACACACCAGCCTCGGCTTGTTCGTGTTTTCTTATCCACAAAAAACACTGGGCTGCCCCCACCGCCCTGGACTCTCTGATGAACCCTCTCTTCAGGTTCTTGTCAATGAACTCTCTTAACTCCTGCATCTCTCTGTCTGACATGGCGTACAGCTTGCCTACAGGGAGCTGTGCTCCAGGGAGTAAGTTGATTTGACAGTCAAAGGGTCTATGCGGGGGTAGTTGGTCAGCTTCCCTTTCGCTGAAGACGTCACGGAGATCTGCATATTGTCGTGGTACCTTCACGTTCTCTGTTACTTCAGTCCCTGCTAGGGTGGCTTGGACCCCTGCCAAACCCTTTCCCTCTTTGCAGTGTTCTAAGCAATGTGCTGAACCAAAAGAAACCACTCTCTGATGCCAGCCCACCAGCGGATCATGTAACGCTAGCCAGCTCATCCCCAATATAATGGGAGCTCCTCCCAAGGTGGCCACATTAAAAGCTATCAGTTCGGTGTGCCTTGCTACCTTCATTATCATTGGGACGGTCTGCAAGCTGACTTCTCCACCCAACAGCTCCCTGCCATCGATCGTGGTCACCTGCAGGGGGCTGCTTAAAGGATTGTCTGTATCTGGTGTTCAGCTGCAAACTCTTTGCTCATGAAATTGCAGGAGCTGCCTGAGTCCAACAGCGCCTTTATCTTTAGAGGGTGTCCGTTTGGCAGCTCTAGCGTCACTTCTATCACTAGGGCGGGTTTAGGAGGTTCTGGCGTGGGCACTCTCACTGCTCTTTGGCCTGGCTGCTGTGCCCTGACAGTGGCAGCCAGGCGTTGGCTTTACTTGCTCCGGTATATTTTCCTCTCTTCCATCCACAGCCCCTACCATCCCTTGCCATTCTTTCCTCTGGGGGCAGACTCTGGCAAAGTGACCTGGCTGTTGGCAGAGATAGCATTTCCGGGCGCCTTTTCCCTCCTTCTTTGCCCCCTCACTGGGCTTTGAAACTGCGCGCGCGCGCTGTTCCGATTTCCATCGGCTCTGCCGGTGGGAAAGTTGGCTCTGGAATGTCTGGAATGCGGAACTCCTTCCAACGTTCCCCTTTCCCTTCCCGCCTCTCCAATGCTCTCGCCTCCTGGCGCGCTCCTATGGCCAGCGCTGATTTGGTCAGCTGGTCCATAGACTCCGCCCTGGGCGCCCGGGAAAGTTCGTCTTTCACAGCCGAAGAAAGCCCTTCTTCAAAGAGCATTTGAATGGGTTCCGCCGATAAGTCCCACCCCAATCTGTGAACAAGCATGGTGAACTCAGTCCAGTACTCACGGACAGATCGGCTCCCCTGTTTGCAACCCATTAACTGTCTGCGCACCACTCCCTTTTCAATATCGCTGGAAAACATCAGATCCATGGCGCGAAAGAACTTCATCGTGTCTTTTAAGACGTCACTATTCGCTGCCATCAGGGGTCTAACCCAGTCTCTCGCCCCCTTTTCAAGATGCTCAATCACGAAAGCCACTCGTGATTCCTCGTCAGGAATTCATCAAACTGCAGATTGAGGGCATATTGCATTTCTGTCCGAAAACCATGATAGTTTTGGGCTCCCCCAAACTTCTGCACCAATCCTGGTACCTTTCTGGCGAACTGGGTGGCTTTCCCCCTTTGTCTGCATCCTGAGCCCTCCTCTCCTCAAGCCTCGCCGTCTGCATCGCTAGCTGGACCTCCAACATCTGGTACCTTTCTTCCAGGCTTGGACCCGCTCCAGCTCCTGCTTCTCCGGTTCCGGCTGGGTTGCTCATGATACCTTCTCCTGCACAAGCTGCTTTCAAAGACTGTCGGAATGCTGTGATGGGATGATGAGCTGCTTGTGCGTAAAATCGTATCCCCTCAGAGTTTGTTCAAGTCCACAAACCTCTGTCTGTGACAGAGCCCCTCAGACATGGCTACTCTAGTCACTAGCAGATTCCGACAGTGGTTGCTTTCGTAATCGCTTCCAACATAAAAGCTCCTTAACGGAAACACGTCTTCTGGAATCTCTGCGTGACAGTTTCCGGCGAGGAGTGGGTGTTCTTACAGGAGGTCCTGAAACCTCTCCACTGTTTTCGCTGGAAGTGTCTCTGAGCCATCCCTCCAGCTCAGCTCCTCTCCCCCTGCTGGTTCCCTCATCAGCTGCTGCGTCTCTCCCAACCTGTGTGAGCCCTTTCACCTCCCTGTTGGTTTCCTCTTCAGCTGCTGCGTCTCTCCCAACCTGTGTGAGCCCTTTCACCTCCCTTCCGTCCGATGGCAGTTCCCTGACAGGAGGTTATGACTAAACCTTCGAAAAAACTTTCTGACAGGTAAGAGTAGTTTGGCAGTGGAACAGACTCCCACGAGAGGTGATAGACTCTCCTTCCTTGGAGGTTTTTAAGCAGAGATTGGGTGGCCACCTGTCATGGATGCCTTAGCTGAGATTCCTCCATTGCCGGGGGTTGGACTAGATGACCCTCGGGGTCCCTTCCATTTATGGATTCTATGATTCCATAAATGTGCATATCAATGTGCATGGTAGGAGAAATGCACACCAAAATGATGACTTTTCATGGGGACTATTTTTTTAATTTTTTTTTTTTAAATAATGGACTGTGTTGTGGAAATGCTGAGAGCTAAACATAAGATTGGGGGGGGGGAGAGAGAAGCTGAAACTGCAAGAAGCCAAGTTATGGGGAACCAGGCAGAGGGCCTTCTCGGTAGTGGCACCCGACCTGTGGAACGCCCTCCCACCAGATGTCAAAGAGAAAAACAACTACCAGACTTTTAGAAGACATCTGAAGGCAGCCCTGCTTAGAGAAGCTTTTAATGTTTAATAGACTATTGTATTTTAATATTCTGTTGGAAGCCGCCCAGAGTGGCTGGGGAAACCCAGCCAGATTGGCGGGGTATAAGTAATAAATGATGATGATGATGATGATGATGATGATGATGATGATGACAGATTCACCCATGCCTACTGACAACACTGACTTGCAGTGGCTCTCCTGGGTCTAACGCAGAAGTCCTTCTCAGGCCTACTTGCAGATGGCAGGAACTGAACCCGAGTCCTTCTTCATGCAAAGTCAATGCTCTACCACTGAGCTTTGACTCTTCCCCAAGCAATTTGTTGTCGGGTCAAGGTCTCTGAAAGGCCATCATGTTTTCCTGTAGGATGGAATCTGCATCTTCTGTCTCTCTCTTCCTTCCAGTCCCCTTCCCTCATTCCACCACCCCCAAAAAATTCCCTCTTCAGCCAGCAGGATGAACTTGAAATCTGAACCATCTGCATTCATTGTGTCTGATAAGAGTAAATGAAAGATCCCTAAAGCCATATACCCAGCGCTGTGAATTGACGGGAGTAATTATAAGCTTAACCAAGATTGGAGAAATGTTTAAGACAATGGGCACCATTACAGATGGACGGGTGGAGGGTTGGGTACACCGTAAATGTGATGGAATGAGCTTAAATTAATAACAACCTTCCAAAAGATATTTGCCAAGTGGCCATTTAACAGAACTGCTCTACACTGAAGATTTCAAGCACTTGTGAATGGATTAAATTGGATTTCAAGGTCTCCAGCAACTGAAGTGGTTGAATCACAAATGTGACTTCTCTGGTGTTTGATATTTAAAAGGTTTGAGGTTTGAGGAGACATCCACAAGGATGCTTCAATGAAGGAAAAGAAACAGAGCAAGCACTGTAGAGCAGCAAGCTGAGAAAAATCTATCTGTTCTGGCTTCTTTCAGCTTCTCATTTTATCCAGGCTTAAGCTGAGTTTGCCTTATTTCCAGTTTCTGATTATTATTTTTGGAGAAGAAAGTCTGCAATAACTGAGTAGCAACAGATAAGAGGAACTAAAGATGAGGGAGAGGTTTGGTTCCATACACTTTTTCTTATGAACCTACCTAATTTTGCACATTTCCAAACAATGCATATCCTACAGAAACGGCACTCCTATGAATTTTGTAACCACATTGCAAAATTTGTAGGGGAAGGTGTGCATAACATGCATGTATTTGTAGCAGTGGACAAATCTATCAATTTCAGTTTCTTATGTTTCAGATTTTAAATTCAGTTCTCTTTTCACATCAGTTTCCAATTTTATTATTATTATTTTAAAATTTGCCAGCATTTTAGTACACATTTCTCTTAATATAAGCATTTTTTATTTTTATTTTTGCAAGCAGTTTCCCCTAATATGATGCATTTCTATATGCCATTTTGGAAATATTCAGCTGGGATTCAGCAGCAGGTCAACAAATTCAGGTTGTGCAGTTTGAATGGATTTGGTGTTCTTGTGGAACAAAACGCCTTCCAAAAAAAGCCCCAAACTCTGGCATTTTACAGTTAGGAAATTGGTGGGAAATGCACCAGAAAGTCTGGGGAAACACTTTTTTTGACATAAGCTCTCTGGAAACAAATCAGAATGCACGCTCAGTAAACAGTGGATGTTGTATTAACTCAGTGCAAACGATCAGGATGGATGCTGCATAATCAGACCATCTAGGTGTGACCTGAGACAATCCCTGGTCCGGATTAATTGGAGAATATGGCCAAGGCCAAGAGACCAGATGATGTTATGTCTGTACCAGCTCTTTGACTCTAGTGGGCCAATCTATACAATCAGCATTAGTGGACAGGTAAAGGTTTACTTTGAGTGTACCAGTTCGGCTTATGGGTGGAGGCAATAGGAACGAAGCTTTTGTTGGACTGTAGAGATGGGGTCAGTTTTTGTTTCTCTCCGTTTCTCATTTTTCCACTTCTCCACATTTCCACATCAGTTTGCTGCCTTTAAAAAGAAAAGTCCTCTTTAAAATTCTTCAGTATTTAAATACTGATTTTTCCTAATACACATGCTTGTATGCAATTTTGCCTAACATACACATTCCCCCCATACAATTTCCCCACATATAATTTCACCGTTTGTATATTATTTTCACTAATATATGCATCTTTATACAGATTTAACTTTACGTACTTTTGTACGTACACACTGGAGAAATGCATTGAAAAATTCAGTTAAGGGTACATTTCAAAGACTGGCTATGTTTCAGTTTGTGCATTGTTTTAAAAGGTGAAAGTTGGGTAGGATCACCTTTAAATGCAAACTGGATCAAATTTCTCCTCCATCCCTGCTGGACTGCACCATTTCATACTGTAGAGGGAGGGAGCAAATTTCTGGTTTTGTTGCAGCTAAGCCGAACCATTCTTCCCAAAATTCCGTGGGTTTTCTTTTCAAGCAGTGTTTTGCTTTTCATAGCAGCACTATTACTGACACACACCTCTGCAGGGCACTCAAGGAAGAGTTTCTGACACCAGCTTCCACTTTAAGATCCGTGCTCTTGAATCATCCTTTGTCACTGTGAGGAGTTTGATGATAAACAATGAGGATTGATGAGGAAGATAAGTGTCAGAAACTATTCAGGAATGTTCAGTTGCTCATTCTGTGCATGAGTGATAACTGCACAAATGTGCTGAAGGAGGTTTTGAAACACCAGGAAAGGTGTAAAATAGGATTAGGATTTGGAAGCATAAGATTGATAGGGGGAGAATTGCTTAGGAGACTACAATGGACAAGATTTCCAAGTAGACTCACTAGAAGCTGATTTAAGACACCGTGAATTACAGCCTGAGCAGCATGTTATAATGTTCATTAAAAATCATGTTGTACAGGCCTCCCACTTCGGAATATAGGTGAGTAAAATTGCATGCTTAAATGTACTTTGAGTCACCATTCCTCCTCTGCCCAGACCCTGACAGTAAGAATAGAGTCCCATATCTGTGACAGCCAGGCTTCAGTGGGATTTATTTTAAGAGTCCTCCAAAACCTGGCAATTGTTACTCTGGCAAATGGGTAAAAAGAACTTTTATAGGCATTCCTTGAGCATCTAAAAGAAAATAAGATAAGAGTGCTATTTTGGAGTAGGTATTTCCTAATCTGGTTTGTGGTCTGGAAACTTTTCCCCGCAAAGGGAACAAACTTTGGACACTACCACCATATGTGTGGTACAGTGATTCAGGAAGTTTACAATCTCACCAGCATAAAGGAGAGGTACCGTATTTTTCGCCCTATAGGACGCACTTTTTCCCCTCCAAAAATGAAGGGGAAATGTGTGTGCGTCCTATAGGGCGAATGCAGGCTGTCGCTGAAGCCTGGAGAGCGAGAGACGTCGGTGCGCACCGGCACCTCTCGCTCTCCAGGCTCCAAGCTATCTGCAAGCCTTGCGCACCCGGGGAGTTCCCCCGGGCACGCAAGGCTTGTGGGCGGCAGCCTGCAGCGCGGAGCACGGGGCGCCCTCCGGAGGACGTCCCGTGCTTCGCGCAGGTGTCGGCAAGCCTTGCGCACCCGGGGGATCCCCCGCGGGAGCGCAAGGCTTGCGGCGGCAGCCTGCAGCGCGGAGCACGGGGCGCCCTCCGGAGGACGCCCCGTGCCCGCACAGGTGTCGGCAAGCCTTGCCCGCCCGGGGATCTCCCTGGGAGTGCAAGGCTTGCGGGCGGCAGCCTGCAGCGCGGAGCATGGGGCGCCCTCCGGAGGATGCCCCGTGCTTCACGCAGGTGTCCGCAAGCCTTGCGCACCCGGGATCTGCCCGGGAGTGCAAGGCTGCGGGCGGCTGCTGCAGCGCGGAGCACGGGGCGCCCTCCGGAGGACGCCCGTGCCCGGCGCAGGTGTCCGCAAGCCTTGCGCACCCGGGGAACTCCCCGGCGCGCACGGCTTGCGGGCGGCAGCCTGCAGCGCAGAGCACGGGGCGCCCTCCGGAGGGCGCCCCGTGCTCGCGCAGGTGTCTGCAGCCTGCCGCCCGCGCGTTGGGCCCCCTGAAGCAGAGCGCCCCTCACGCCGGGCAGACATCGGCCAGCCCCACAAGCTCGGGGGACAACGGGGAGGCGCAGCGCTGCCATCCCACTGTTCCCCGACCTGGTTTTGGGGGGGAAATAAAGGAAAAAAATTTTTCCTTTATTTCCCCCCCAAAAAAGTAGGTGCGTCCTATGGGACGGAGCGTCCTATGGAACGAAAAATACGGTATTTTGGCTGATTTTATGCCATTTTGCAGTGTGTTTGTGCCATCAGTGTACCTCTTTAAAAGCGTAAGTGGGGACAAAGCCAACTGAACTAGTATCTTATGTATTTGGGAAATTATTCATTTTCGTAGTGGGTTAATGGGGTCAACTATTTGCTCAAAGGTGGTTAAAGAGTATGCAGCTTGAGTGATTGTTTTTGGCCAGTTGAGAAAATGTATGAGTGGATGAATTTATAATCATCTAAAGCAGGCATGTCCAAAGTCCGCTCTGGGGGCCTAATCCGGCCCACGAGTCGATTTAATCTGGCCCCATGGCAGTATATGTCCTGGGGTAAAATCCTTTAAAAAGCTCAACAACTTTGGGGTAAAATTGTAAAAAAAAAAAAAAAAGTTCAACAACTTTGGTCGGCCCTCACGCGTGTTCACTTCATCAGATCTGGCCCTCTTTGAAAAAAGCTTGGGCACCCCTGATCTAAAGGCTTTGTCTCCTAGTCAAAAGTTTAATTCTGGGACTATAAGTGGGTTGTCGTTTTTTCTCCCCCTTAAGCCATTTACTTAGAAGTGTGTCCTATTGAAATTGTAGCTGGATTTGCTTCCAAAACAAGATAGAGAGTGAGGGAGTAGTCCTAGCACCCAGTCCACATTCCTAAGATTTGGCTGGTGTACCCTTTCCTTGGCCCCAAAGGATAGATTCTGCATAATGTGCTGAAACTACAAAATGCCCCACTAGGGGAGCACCTGACTGTGGATCGTATCCTACTCATTGAAGGATACTACCACGGTTTTATTGATTTCAATGGGTCCACTCTGAGTGGGACTAGCATTAACTATAATCACAGAATCGCATAATTGTAGAGTTGGAAGGGACCACGAAGATCATCCAGTCCAACCCACTGTGGTGTAGGAATCTTTTACCCAACATGGGGCTTGAACCCACAACCCTGAGATTAAGAGTCTCATGCTCTACCGACTGAGCTATCTCCCTTCCCCCCATTTGCTTTTAACTGGAGATGGCAGGGACCTTCGGCGCACAAAGTATTTGTTCTGTTGCTAAGCTGTGGTCCCTCCCCAAGCTGTGAAAACGGTTTCCAAACATTTCAGGCTTGCAGGGTGCTGAAATGCAACATTTACACGGCGGGCGCAAAACTGAGATCAATAGGAGTTGATCAGATTATGCTGGCGCAATCGATCTAACTAACTGAAATGGATCGTTCCGCTCCCTTAACGGGGCTGTCGTTTCTACCCTGTTCTATTTCCATTCACTGGACCTTTGACATTACAAGCACTCCTGCCTCTTTAATTACAGGCATTTAAAAACCAGTGGCAGGGAACTTGTCACTTAATGCAGAAAATGAGCGTGCTGGCAATGCTAACACATTCATCTCCTGGCTCATTCCTGGAAGCAATAATCATAGCTCGAAAAAGCATAGAGGGTCAGAGAGAGACGGGAGAAGCCAGAAACAGAGGTGATAGGTGGCTGATAATATCTGTTTTGCTGGGAGCTGCGCAGGATTTTAAATTTCAAAATTGGTTGTGGGGAGGGAATAAACAGAGAGGAGCTATTCCAGCTTCACTGCGGAGAGAGGGGGATGCAGCAAGATCAAGCAAAGCGAGCAACGCAAAGCAAATGAAACATTTTCACACGTTACACCGGTTGACAGCTAGAAATACATGTGGGCAGCAAAGTTCTGGTTCCCAGTGGAAGCTGGCCCAGTAGGGCAAATGGGGCACTGCCTTCAAGGAGCCGACGGGGCAGTGAAAGGGGTGGTCAGAGGCACCAGTGAGCACAGCAATGAGTGTCAAGTCGAGTGTTGAAACTAGTATGTTAGTTTATATACACTTTCACCCACCTCTCTCTATGCTCCACCCAGGGAAGCAAAAGATCCGATCAAGAGCTCAAGGGCACATTCCAGCCAGGCAAAGACACCTGAGGCAGGCCATTAAAGGTAAAGGGTGAAGGGACCCCTGACCATTAGGTCCAGTCGTGACTGACTCTGGGATTGCGGCGCTCATCTCGCTTTATTGGCCGAGGGAGCCGGCGTACAGCTTCCGGGTCATGTGGCCAGCATGACTAAGCCACTTCTGGCGAACCAGAGCAGCGCACGGAAACGCTGTTTACCTTCCTGCCGGAGCGGTACCTATTTATCTACTTGCACTTTGATGTGCTTTCGGACTGCTAGGTTGGCAGGAGCAGGGACCGAGCGACGGGAGCTCACCCCGTCGCGGGGTTTCGAACCACCGACCTTCTGATCTGCTAGTCCTAAGCTCTGTGGTTTAACCCACAGCACCACCTGCATCCCTGGAGGGCCATTAGGCCACTCCAAATTTCAACAGTCTTAATCAGGGGTGGGTGTCATGGACAGGTTGGATGAAGAGGAGGAATGGAGGGAGTGTGGCGATCACACAGGGTCCCCGGACGTTTCACCGTCTATTGATCCCTGTGCCACCACTTTATTTCTCGCTGCCACCACCCAGGCCCTACCTGGGACAATACTAAGTCTAGTCAGGGTTAAATTGAAACAAACTTTTGTTTATTTATTGCAGTTTAACAAGTGTGTGGTTTCATAAACAGTATCAGTCAATTACATTCATGGGGTTCCTATCCAGACCTATAACTTCCACTACCTACTCTCACTCACTAAACCACCTCTCAGAGATTTACTTGTCTTCCTAGCTCCTAACTGTTCCTGACTCAGCCTGTTTCGCTACACTAACTCAACCTACCCACAACTCTAGCCCAATTCATTCCCACTCCAACCAACCACCCAACTCCCAATGAACTCTCCAACAAACTCTCTCCTTTGCCCCTCCCAGAGCTGGTTTTATAGTCCCACTGACTCCACCCCCCTGGGTCCTGACTGGGCAACCTGTTTAACTATTTCACCTCCAGCACTCTCTCATATGTTAACGCCACAGGGAGGAACCAGCTGGGGAACCCCCGAGGGAAGGAGTTGATGGTGGGATGACGATGAGTGGTCAGAGGGATAAGACTGGGAGGAGGTTGTTTCAGAAGCTGAAGAGGAAACAGGGCTTGGTGAGCAGGGAGAGTCTGTAGAAGAGAGATGTCCAGAATCAGGGGCTGGAGGCCAAGAGGCAGAGAGAGGAGTCTGGCTGGTCAAGAGGCACAGATCTCTGCGACAAGCTCCCCTCCCACTGGTCTGCCAGAACCAGGAGAGGCATGAAGAGGAAAGAGGAGAAGTTAGCTTTGCACAGGTACAGTCTCAGATTGCTTGGGGGAAACCCTGGAGAGGAGGGGACTGGGGAGGCAGGGACCTTCAGCCTCAGCAACTGCTTCATAGGGGGCCCACCCTGCCGGAGATGAGTTGCTATGCTCACTAGGCCTGACACTCCTGTGTAGATCCTGTTTTTGCTAAGAGTTAACTCCAACTTATGGGACGTGGGTGGAGCTGTGGGTTAAACCACAGAGCCTAGGACTTGCCAATGAGAAGGTCGGTGGTTCGAATCCCGGCGACGGGGTGAGCTCCTGTTGCTCGGTCCCTGCTCCTGCCAACTTAGCAGTTCGAAAGCACGTCAAAGTGCAAGTAGATAAATAGGTACCGCTCCAGCGGGAAGGTAAACGGCTTTTCCGTGCACTGCTCTGGTTCGCCAGAAGCAGCTTAGTCATGCTGGCCACATGACCTGGAAGCTGTATGCCGGCTCCCTCGGCCAATAAAGCGCGATGAGCGCCGCAACCCCAGAGTTGGTCATGACTGGACCCAATGCTCAGGGGTCCCTTTACCTTTTAACTCCAACTTGCTCAGTGCATTTTCCTGCTGGCTCGCTCCTGTCAGTGGGTGCCCACTGGGATAGACTCGAGGTTTGTTCCTCTCCAATTCAGGAAAGCAAAAATTGGAATGGGCATTATAATTCCTCTCTCTTCTCCTTCCAGCAGTTTCTTGTTAAGTGGCAGCCTCAAGATCAACATTCGGCAGGAATTGGTACTTGTGCAGATGGAGAGTCGTTTCTTCCACCATGTTCTCTTCCTGAGAACAGCCACAGGGGCCAGATAGAGAGGCTCAGAGGGCCGCAGTGAAGTTCCCTATCGCTGCTCTTATGTGTGAAATAGAAAGCCGAACTTTTCATGCTGAATTGGAGTAGAGACTACATTAGATTAACTCATCCCACCTATGGTGGCCTTTGGGCACTGTGGACAGGTCAGGGTATCAGAAGGCTTCTTGTTCCACTTGAGCCTTACTTGAGCAAACAAGATACATCTGTGTTCCCACATCCTTGCTTTCTCTTTGATGCCTTGGTTGCATCTATGTGATGAGAAGGGATGTGGGTGGCGCTGTGGTCTAAACCACTGAGCCTCTTGGGCTTGTCGACCAGAAGGTCGGTGGTTCGAATCCCCACGCCGGAGTGAGCTCCCGTGTCATACCATAATGAAAGGTTAAGCATCTTTCTTAGAAATAGAAAAGATGGGTTTCAGAAGAAGATGAAAAGAAACTACTAGAAAATACTATCAATGTTGATGTTTTCTGGGGTTCCATGAGATGTAAGGGGTTTTCTGGGGTTCCATGAGATGTAAGGGGTTTTCTGGGGTTACATGAGGTGAGCTCCCGTTGCTCTGTCCCAGCTCCTGCCAATCTAGCAGTTCGAAAGCATGCCAGTGCAAGTAGATAGGTAAATAGGTATCGCTGCAGCAGGAAGGTAAACGGCGTTTATGTGCTCTCTGGTTTCCATCACGGTGTTCCATTGCGCCAGAAGCGGTTAAGTCATGCTGTCCACATGACCCGGAAGGCTGTCTGTGGACAGATGCTGGCTGCTTTGGCCTGAGAGCGAGATGAGCGCCACAACCCTATAGTTGCCTTTGATTGGACTTAACCATCCAGGGGTCCTTTACCTTTACCTACATGATAGGATTTCTGGAAAAAGCTACCTCCCCACTTCATGAAATGCATTCTACCCCCTCTGTGTCCTTCCCAACATTGGTATAACCACTGCAGTGACAACTTTTCTATAAATGACAAACTCAAATAACCCACTTCTTGAATATTCTTATTCCAAAGTGTATTTGAGAGTGCTTAACAGTTAAGGCTATTTTTGTCAACACAGCTATGGTAGAGAAATTTGCACACACACCCATTTCATTTTCTTATAAGCGCTATTAACTGTTACACGAGATGCTTATTTTCAAAGCTGCAATTGAAAGATTAGAAAGAAACTCAGTAAGCTGTAATAAGCAAGGAAAACATGCTTATTAGGAAAGGACATGAAGTTCAGCTCGGTTCAGGAGGGGTTGCGGAAAGTCTACTTCAGGTTACATTTGCCAAGTTCAAAAGATTTAAGCAACTCAGAAAGGAAACACACAAGGAGACACATATACACACCTGCCACACAACCTTACCATCAAAAATTAAGAAATATTGTCCGAGAGAAATATTGTTTCTATGTAGGTTAGTGATAGAGGGTCTGCCTGGCCTGCGTAGGTTACCAGGTTCAATATCCAGATAGGGCTGTGAGAGACACCTGTCTGAATCTCTGGAGAGTTTTTGCCTGTCAGTGTCAACAGTGCTGAGCTAGGTGGATCATGGGCTTACTGTGTTCCCATATTGCAGGATTGGGAAACCTTTGGCCCTCCAGATATTGCTGAAGTACAATTCCCATCAGCCCTAGTAATCAGGTAACCTTATAATGCTGCAGTCCCACCCAACCAGGAAGCCTTTGACCCCCGGCATATGTGCAGATGTCAGGGATCAATAGCTTCCTCCCTGCAGACATCCCAAGGGAGTTTTCTCTCTGTATGTTTCGTTGAACGTCTGCCTGCTATGTACAAGGCCCGAACTAAAAAAGACAAAACCTTCCTGTTCCTTGCTCCTCAAATAATACACAGTTTTGTTCAGTTTCCTCAGTAAAATGTTATAAGGATTTCTCTATGTGTCATTTAAGTGACTTTGCTAACAGGGGTGCACCCTGAGAGAGAGGCCTAGAGGTCCACCTTTGGATCTAGAGAGGCCTAGAGGTCCACATTTGGAGTCTCCTTTCTGCATTAATGAAAGGTCCCCTTGGGGTCTTACTGGGAGAACCGAGTGCTACCCATTGGCAGAGTTCTAAGGGAAATCCGAATGGGGGTTTCATAGCCAAGGTCAGCAGGAACCTGTGAAGAGCTGCAGCTTGGCAGAAGTTAGCTCAGAGCTAACATGGATTTCCAGGATGCATCTGTCACCGAGATGCGCTGCTCAAGTCTACAGCTGGATTTTTCAAGGTCAGATGCTTGCAAAATACACCAGGAAGCTCATCTCTTCTATCGTGAATTGCCTGAAAGGACTTCAGAGCAAACGTTGACTCCTGACCTTCCCATTATACATCGTCCAATTTTTAGCGTGGCCTTTTGATTGTGGCCCTGGCTGAGCCGCTGCCAAGCTGCTGTAATCTTTCAACCTTCTCCTTTTGAACTCTGCTGCCCTCTTTGGTCTTCCTGAGCTGCGCTGCAGAGTCCCTTGATCTCCTCTGGGCCATTTCTACCCTAGCACAAACTTTTAAATCTTGCCTTTGTCAAGTCTTGTTTTCAGTCGCTTCTCTGGACGGCGGCCCTCGGTTGGTGCATCATTCCACCTCCTCCCACCCGGCTAAAATATTAGGCTTCTATTTTTAAAATCTTTCATTTATTGCTAGCTTTCCGTCCAAGCCCTGTGATGGAGCCAGACACCCTAAAGCAAGAAAAGTTTCTCTGTGCTCCAGAATGCCGTCAAAGAATTAGCCCTTTTAAATGCCAGATATGAAAAGGGCAGCTGCTGCAGGCAGATCATAGAGATGGAAGGGACCTCAAGGATCATCTAGTCCAACCCGCTGCAATGCAGGAATCTCAGCTAAAGCATCCATGACAGAGGGCCATCCAGCCTCAGCTTAAAAACCTCCAAGGAAGGAGAGTCCACAACCTTCCCGCCTTCTGCTGAATGGAGGTAGTGCCTGATTTATGTATAAGCTAAACAAGCTATAGCTTAGGGCCCCACTCTCTTGGGGGCCCAAAAAAATTAAAGGAAAAAAAACCTGAATGTACATTTCCAACATATAAGATTAAAAAACAAAATAAAACCCACATACAGCAACAGTGTTTTGTGTTGTGTAGGCGCCTATGATGTAAGTAATGGGCCCCACCTGCTAGCCTGCGCCCTAAAATATCACTGGTTTGCTCATTTCTATATAGTGTGGTACCTCGGGTTACAGACGCTTCAAGTTACAGACACTTCAGGTTACAGTCTCCGCTAACCCAGAAATAGTACCTCGGGTTAAGAACTTTGCTTTAGGATGAGAAAAGAAATTGCGCAGGAGGCCTCATTAGCTAAAGTGGTACCTCGGGTTAAGAACAGTTTCAGGTTAAGAACGTACCTCCGGAATGAATTAAGTTTTTAACCCAAGGTACCACTGTATAGATTGGGACGCGGGTGGCGCTGTGGGTAAAACCTCAGTGCCTAGGACTTGCTGATCGCAAGGTTGGCGGTTCGAATCCCCGTGGCAGGGTGAGCTCCTGTCGTTCGGTCCCGGCTCCTGTCGACCTAGCAATTTGAAAGCACCCCTAAGTGCAAGTAGATAAATAGGTACCGCTTTATAGCGGGAAGGTAAACGGCGTTTCCGTGTGTGGTGCTGGTGCTGGCTCGCCAGATGCCGCTTAGTCACACTGGCCACGTGACCCGGAAGTGTCTCCGGACAGTGCTGGCTCCTGGCCTCTTGAGTGAGATGATCGCGCAACCCTAGAGTCGGACACGACTGGCCCGTACGGGCAGAGGTACCTTTACCTTTACCACTGTATAGGGTGCCTGCATTCTGCATGTGCAAATGGCTTTAGATACCTATTAGGTCCATAAATTACCACATAGAATATATTCAACCCAAAACCCAGTGACAATTTGTTGTTGACAAAGGACAGCTGGACATGTAAAGGGCCCCATTACCTTCAGTAGCTTAGGGCCTCATCAAACCTAAATCCGGCCCTGAATGGAGGCATGCAAGGTAGCTTATATCCAACATTTTTGAGCTTCTGTTTTGCAAGATTCTACTCCCACATAGCAAGGGGAGGATATAATGTAGACATACTTTTTCAGCAGGGGGGCGGTCCACTGTCCCTCAGACCTTGCGGGGGGCTGGACTATATTTTGAAGAAAAAAAGAATGAATTCGTATGCCCCACAAATAACCGGGAGATGCATTTTAAATAAAAGGACACATTCTACTCATGTAAAAACACTGATTCCCGGATCGTCCACAGGGCGGATTTAGAAGGTGATTGGGCCGGATCCGGGCCCCAGGCCTTAGTTTGCCTACCCATGATGTAGATAGTCCACTGTGAATGACTTGCCACAAAGGCAGCAACAGGGGTGAAGTTCCTGCAGCCTCTCATGGGGAATTCCATGCATGTGTGCGCGCGCATGAGCTCTTTAACAATAATGTATAGATCCGAGAAACAGCCACAAGGCTGCTAACATTCGGGGGGGGGGGGACACGACAAAATTGGCAGTAGCTGCACCTTGCACCATGACGGCCGCTTTCGCTGCTAACAACCCAGCCCTACGTTCAAATCTTGGCAGCAAAATTAAGGCAGACTCTCCTTATCTTGCCCTGAGGTATTTCACCAGGTGCTGAATATTTAATTTTAATTAGGGTTTGAAATGTGGCCTCTAACAATCTCTCTCCCCCTCCCCTCTATATTGGATTTAGGCTCTGGTGTTTATCGGCTTAAGGAGATTATCAGAAGAGATCATAAAGAAAAAAGAGAAAATATACGAACAAGATGAGATGTGGAAACAGCAAGATAAGACTGGATAGAATTATGAACTTTGTTTGGACTGATTTGGATATTAACGCAGTAGCAAGAAGACGATCAGCATCCCCCTTCGGATCTTGAAATATGGGTCCCCTCAACAAAATTTAAAAAATCATCTTTGTAATTCGGAATTTATGTGATGTGATGTGATTTGATTCGATTGGTCGGTTAATAAAAACTATTTAAATATATATATATATTGGATTTAGGCTCAAAGAGGAACTCAGCAAATTACATCCAGTAAAGAGGTAAGCATCTCTAGACGTTTTCACACAGCTGGTCACCGGAAGACATTTCTTTAAATTGGGGCTGACAGTTGCTACACTGAGCACTTATGGCTGGTGGCTACTAGCTAGTCAATACCTCCCCACCAGCATGGTTGGCAGCGGGGCTAGAGAGAAGGAGTTAGAATGAAGCCAGAGAAGGAGGGTATATCTAGGTGGGAGTTTATTGTGAGACAGAATTGTAGAATTGTAGAGTTGGAAGGGACCACTGGGGGTCATCTATTGCAATAATAATAATAATTTATTATTTGTACCCCGCCCATCCAGCTGGGCTTCCCCAGCCACTCTGGGCAGCTTCCAACAAAGATTAAAAATACATTAAAATTTCACACATTAAAAACTTTCCTGAACAGGGCTGCCTTCAGATGTCTTCTAAATGTCAGGTAGTTGTTTATCTCTTTGACATCTGGTGGGAGGGCATTCCACAGGGTGGGCGCCACTACCAAGAAGGCCCTCTGCCTGGTTCCCTGTAACCTCACTTCTCACAGTGAGGGAACCGCCAGAAGGCCCTTAGCGCTGGACCTCAGTGTCCGGGCTGAACGATGGGGGTAAAGATGCTCCTTCAGGTATACTGGACCGAGGCCATTTAGGGCTTTAAAGGTCAGCACCAACACTTTGAATTGTGCTCGGAAATGTACTGGGAGCCAATGTAGGTCTTTCAGGACCGTTGTTATGTGGTCTCAGCAGCCGCTCCCAGTCACCAGTCTTGCTGCCGCATTCTGGATTAGTTGTAGTTTCCGGGTCACCTTCAAAGGTAGAGCACATTGCAGTAGTCCAACCTCCTGCAATGCAGGAATCTTTTGCCCAATGTGGGACTCGAACTCATGACCTGAGATTAAGAGTCTCGTGCTGTACCAACTGGACTATCCCAGCAGTTTCTTTAACAACCTCCACATGACATGGCTGGTATCAAAATGCCAGCCTCTGTTCCCCCTTCTCCAGATTAATAGTAATTTACCTTTTCCAGGGAAAATCCAATCCCACTGTCAACAATGGGAAACCAAAGTTAGTTGTGTCCATTGATGTCAATGGGTCTACTCTGAGTAGGACTAGCATGGGCTGTGACACAACTTGTTTATGACTTCTCAGTGGTGTAGTTGCATATTAAGCCCAAGTCCAGAAGAACCTGCAGGCGAAGGTCCAAGAGGGTTTTTTAACAATTATTGCTAGCCGGCAAGAAGGAGCCTTGTCTGCCTGGGTAGCTCAGTTAGTTAAACCGTGGTGCTTGTAATACCAAGATTGCAAGTTCGAGCCCCGTAAGGGACAGTTGCATATTCCTGCATTGTAGCGGGTTGGACTACAGTGGTACCTCAGGTTACAGACGCTTCAGGTTACAGACTCCGCTAACCCAGAAATAGTAATAATAATAATAATAATAATAATAATAATAATTTATTATTTATACCCCGCCCATCTGGCTGAGTTTCCCCAGCCACTCTGGGTGGCTCCCAATCAAATGTTAAAAACAGTACAGCATTAAATATTAAAAACTTCCCTTCAGATATCTTTTAAAGATAGGACAGCTGCTTATTTCCTTCACTTCTGAAGGGAGGGTGTTCCACAGGGTGGGTGCCACTACCGATAAGGCCCTCTGTCTGGTTCCCTGTAACCTCACTTCTCGCAATGAGGGAACCGCCAGAAGGCCCTCGGCGCTGGATCTCAATGTCCGGGCTGAACGATGGGGGTGGAGACGCTCCTTCAGGTATACAGGACCGAGGCCGTTTAGGGCTTTAAAGGTCAGCACTAACACTTTGAATTGTGCTCGGAAACGTACTGGGAGCCAATGAAGATCTCTCAGGACCAGTGTTATGTGGTCCCGGCAGCTACTCCCAGTCACCAGTCTAGTTGCCGCATTTTGGATTAATTGCAGTTTCCGGGTCACCTTCAAAGGTAGCCCCACGTAGAGCGCATTGCAGTAGTCCAAGCGGGAGATAACTAGAGCATGCCGTAGTACCTCAGGTTAAGAACTTTGCTTCAGGATAAGAATAGAAATCGCGCTGTGGTGGCGCAGTGGCAGTGGCAGGCCCCATTAGCTAAAGTGGTATCTCAGGTTAAGAACAGTTTCAGGTTAAGAACAGACCTCCAGAACGAATTAAGTTCTTAACCCGAGGTACCACTGTAGATGATTCTCAGGGTCCCTTCCAGCTCTGCAGTTCTATGATTTTGTGGCTTTGCTTTGCTTTGGGGGGAATGGATGTCGATCTACAGAGTAGCATTGTCTTGCCTGGGCATAATTTCAGAGGAATCCCCCTGTTGGAAAGAGCTGCAAAAGAAGTGAAAACATGCATGCAGTTTGGCAGCGAAACCTCTTTCCATTCCTGCCCCCCTCCCCCCTTTTTTTGGATATAGTACAGGAATCCTTTTGTGGGTTCTGCATGGTGAAAACTGATATAAAACAGCTTGGGTTGGTTTTATGTATTCCCCCGCTCTCTCCCACCCCTCCCACGTTAAGCACTGGAACAAACTGGTCAGGAAGATTGAATGTTTATGCAGGAGGACGTCATGCAAGTGGGGCAAGCCAATTCTCTGTGAGTTTATAAGGAAGCCAGCCAGACAAGGTCTCCAGTCTGTGCTTTGACCCCTGGTCGCCTTTTAATTTTTCAAAGTTTATCTAGCCCCATCTCAGCAGTGCTTGAATGGAAAGCGATCTGCCTACTCTGGGCTTTTGGCAGAAGGAGACTTCCCTCACATGGAAAAGTGTTTAATACCAATTTAATGGTCTGTCTAGCCGCTGTTACATCCCTTCCCTCTCCATTTCTCTCTCTCTCTCCTACTGACAAACAATGCTGGAACAATTCTGTCAGGGGGGAGTGGGCCTTCTTCGTCCCCCTCGCTGCGATGCAAAAAACCACCCGCTGCCCCCTACTTAAGCTTCCTTTAAAATTTGTTTTTACAATAAGTTGCGTAGCGAAAGACAAAAATCTGTAAAACGTCTTGAATTAGTCAGCAGTTTTATAAAAATATTGTGGGCTTGCGGTGAATTTGGGGGAAGAGGGGAAAGGAGAGAGAGAGAGAGAGAGAAGGGATGGGAGGACAATTTGATTTAGTTCACATTTAAAGGCAAACCTACCCAATTCTCCCTTTCCAAACAAAACGAAATCCACTGGAAACACAGCCCTCCTTCAAAATGCGCACATATTCTGATTTTGCAGTTCGATTCTCCAGCCAAGAAATGTGTACAAAAATACATACACCAGAGTGAGAAAGAAAGTAGAAAGTAGAAAGAAAGTAACATTCAGAAATGCTTTCTATTAAGGGAAATTGCTTTGCAAAAATATGTGTTTTAGGCAAAATTGCATACCAATCTGTTTATATTCTGAGAAATCCACATGAAAATGCTGACGGATTTCCACAGGCATTTTTTTAATTAAAATAACACAAACTGATGTGGAAATGTGGAGAATAGAATTTAGGACTGGAAGAAATGAGAAACTGAAATCAACAGATCTGCCTGTCCCTAACAGCTCACGATAAAATTTCTCCCACTTTTTTTTTTTAAAAAAAATAACATTCACACACATATTCTCTATCAATTAATGAGAAAAGAAATAGCTTTTGAAAATGATTGAGGGGTGGGACGAGGTGGCAGATTTCAGTGAACTTAAGGAAAGTCTCGTTTAAGGAAAGTGTATTTTTGTGTGTTCAAAAAATGGTTTTAAAGAGAAGCTCAGCTCATGCTGCATAAATTTTTGGGCGACCAAAATAAAGAACGACGCAGCTTTCAGAAGACAACTGAAGGCTCCCCTGTATTGGGAAGTTTTTAATCTCTGGCATTTTACTATGTTTTTATATGTGCTGGAAGCTGCCCAGAGTGGCTGGGAAAATCCAGCCAGATGGGTGGAACATACATCATCATCACCACCTTTTCTCTAAACTAAAAAATCCTCAGTGCTTCAACCTTACTTTAAAGGGAGGTCTCTCTGTCCCATGGATCATTTTGGGTTTGGTTCTTTGGCTGCAATTGTTTCACGGTGGCCTGGGCTTACGGAAGTATTGGGTTGGTTTCACAGGTTCCTGCTTCCAATACTGTCACATCTGCAAAACCGTAGAGCCAGGCCTGTTGCTTTGTCTCCAGTCAGAGCATGTCCTGTGACTTCTCGCTGAAATCCTGAAATTTTCTACACCACAGATGTTCTTGCATTAATGACACGTTGCAGATACAACTACAGTGGTACCTCGGGTTACATACGCTTCAGGTTACATCTGTACAGGTTACAGATTCCACTAACCCAGAAATAGTACCTCGGGTTAAGAACTTTGCTTCAGGATGAGAACAGAAATGGTGCTCCAGCGGCACGGCGGCAGCGGGAGGCCCCATTAGCTAAAGTGGTGCTTCAGGTTAAGAACAGTTTCAGGTTAAGAACGGACCTCCGGAATGAATTAAGTACTTAACCCGAGGTACCACTGTATGTACTTGCAAGGTTGGGGAGTCTGAAGGGCCCCCCCCTAACACACATCATAGGAAGCTGCCTTTTACTGACCAGCGGTCCATTTATGTTAGTGTCCTCAATAAAATAAATAAATAAATAAATAAATAAATAAATAAATAAATAATTTATTGTTTATACCCCGCCCATCTGGCTGGGTTTCCCCAGCCACTCTGGGCAGCTTCCAACCAAATATTAAAAACAATACAGTGTTCCACAGGGCAGGCGCCACTACCAAGAAGGCCCTCTGCCTGGTTCCCTGTGACCTCACTTCTCGCAGCAAGGGAACTGCCAGAAGGCCCTCTGAGCATCAGGTATACTGGGCCGAGGCCGTTTAGGGCTTTAAAGGTCAGCACCAACACTTTGGATTGCGCTCGGAAACGTACTGGGAGCCAATGAAGTGTTTCAGGTGAGCATCTATCTACCTGGATATGCCAAGGCATTCAACTTGGGACCTCCTGCATGCTCTGCCACTGCGTGATGGCCCTTCCTCAATCGGAGAAGCATTGACAAACAACTAAGAAATAAAAAAGTGGTGTATGGAAAGAGCCGTAGCTAGGTGTCTAACCTGGCAGAACTGTCCAGATTGCGCTCCCTAGCCACAAATTAGCTCTTCTTTCTGCCTCTCTTCCAACCCCCCCCCCACCCATTCAATTCATCCTCTATTTAAAACCATTGTTTATGAGGCAATAATCGATATTTATATTTATGGACATATTTTTAAGCCGATTTTGTGCCCCCCAATCGCCTTCACCCCTGACGGTGGCCCACCTCACCACCCACTAGCTACTGCCCTGTGTATGGACTGCCCGGTAAAAACCTTCCACTAATGCAAAATACAACAAAATTGTATTCTGCCAAAGTATGACCCATTGTAATGAATGCGCATGACTAACTTGGATCCGTTCATTTCAATGATACTACCAAAAAAGACAGACTAAAGACACCCATGTTGCAGATAGTCTTGCAACAGAGAGAAAAGGATGCCAAAAAACCCAAAACTAATATATTTGCTGATTATGTCTTCATCTTTTCTTTTTTTTAAAAAAACCAACTTTGAAAACATTGCCTAAGAGAGAGAAGGCAAGACAGCTCTGTGAATGTACAGTAGTGGTTGAACAGTACTCTCCACCAAGACCTTTTCTTTTCCAACCACCCCACAAAGTGTTTTTTCCCTACCCTTACTGATCAAAGGGATGTTTTCAGCTGTTTGATGTTCAATGTGTCCCCCAATTCCCCTTCCCCCTTCCCCCCTTCCTTTCTTCCTTCTGTTGTCCCCCTTCACTCAAATGCATCAGCCAGCCTCAGGCTTCCCTCACCTTACATATTCTTCTATAGACAGGAGGAGCAACAAAGTCCTGTTTTGAATCAGATCATGAAGTTCAAATGCTGCGCTTTTTATTTCAGCAGCTCCTGGGCTTACTAACTTTGACTTTCCGGCTAACTTGGCAACGAATATTGTTGGGTACTTTAACGGGGAGTGAGAGGGTTGGAGACTCACTTGAAACCTTCAGAGTTTTCTAACTTCTCAACTGGTATGTCAGAATATATTATACAGTGTAATTTATCTACTAATTCTAAGGCCCGCCTTTTGGTCTGACAAACTCACGAGATGGTTTACAGTAATCTCTGTGCAAAACCTTATTTTGCAAGGGTTTGGTTTTTTTACGAGTTTGTGGAACATTTTGTGCTGAGGCATTTTTAAATTCTTTGATATGGTTTTAATTGTGTTTTATGGCTGTTTCTCTTTTATTTTCGAGTCGCTTTGGAGGGGGGAAATGTTTTTTAAAGTAATGATAAAGGTAAAGGGACCCCTGACCATTAGGTCCAGTCGTGACCGACTGTGGGGTTGTGGCGCTCATCTCGCTTTATTGGCCAAGGGAGCTGGCGTACAGCTCCGGGTCATGTGGCCAGCATGACTAAGCCGCTTCTGGTGAACCAGAGCAGCGCACGGAAACACTGTTTACCTTCCCGCCGGAGCAGTACCTATTTATCTACTTGCACTTTGACATGCTTTCGAACTGCTAGGTTGGCAGGGGCAGGGACCGAGAAACGGGAGCTCACCCCATCGCGGGGATTCGAACCGCCGAAATTCTGATCGGCAAGTCCTAGGCTCTGTGGTTTAACCCACAACGCCACCTGCGTCCCTCAGAGTAATGATATACATAACTAAAATAAAGAACAAAACATGAAACCTATATGGGGCAGTTATCACAAACCTGGGCTCAAAATTTTGGGTTCAAATGTGCACTCATCTTCAGCCAAGTGTGCCCAGTCTTTCTTGTGGATATTTGGTAAAATGCTAGTGATTTTTTCCCCCATGAGAAACTGAGAGAAACCGAAATAAACAGATTGGTCTTAACCTGAACCTTTAGTGACTACAATCAGCTGGTGATGGGCCCGTTCACAGTTTATTTGTTGTATTTGCTAGTAACTTTTCTCACAGGGTGCCCCAAAGTTTAGCGAACAGGTAACAGCTTGGCCAATGTGAGAACAGGATGCTGTACTAGATAGGACACTGGCCTGATCCAGCACGCTCTTCTTACGTTCTTAGACTGAGCAGACCCATAGGTCCCCTCACCTGAGACTTCCCCACAAGGTGAGATGTCTTGTATTTCTGTTTAAGTTATACTCATGCTTCCTGAATTGGCATCTTAGCATGCAAATTTTATGCAAATCTATACTCCCCCCTCTTTTTTATGATGTTGTAGCTGATGTATCGGGACGCGGGTGGTGCTGTGGTCTAAACCACTGAGTGTAGGGCTTGCCGATCAGAAGGTCGGTGGTTCGAATCCCCGCGACGGGGTGAGTTCCTGTTGCTCACTCCCTGCTCCTGCCAACCTAGCAGTTTGAAAGCACGCCAGTGCAAGTAGATAAATAGGTACCACTCCAGTGGGAAGGTAAACTGTGTTTCCGTGCGCTGCTCAGGTTTGCCAGAAGCAGCTTAGTCATGCTGGCCACACGACCCGGAAGCTGTACGCCGGCTCCCTCGGCCAATAAAGTGAGATGAGCGCCGCAACCCCAGAGTCGTCCGCGACTGGACCTAATGGTCAGGGGTCCCTTTACCTATGTATGATGGAAGCCATCTGGAGTGGCTGGGGCAACACAGTCAGATAGCTGGGGTATATGTATTCTTATTGAAAATTATTATTAAATAGGACTTCCCTATTTTCGTTGGAGAAATGTTGGAGGGTATACAAACCACATCTGTTGTTGGTACATTTTCTGTCAAACACACACACAGAGAGAGAGAAAGAGAGAGATATGAAACCACTTCCTGACCTGGGCAGAATCTGCCTTGCACCATCACTTCAAAAGTAATCTCTGCTGTCCCTAGAAAACCTCCCATTAATCCACATCAACCCTAAGGCTGCAGAGGAGTCATTTCCTCCCGGCACGCAGCACTGGGTTTCGCAACACGCCGGCCATTTGGCAAGAGGCTCCCAAAGCCACGAAAGGAAGAGAATTAGCCGTGTCAGCATCTTCTCTGCCTGCGGAGTGGAACCCGGTCCCCTTTCCCTTGCCAGAAAGCCGTTGTTAAAAGCCTGCGTGAAAGCCTGGAGGAAAGTAATTCTCGCCAGCTGTTCCTCTGCCTGAAGCCAGCCGCATTGAGCAGAGCTAGCTAGAGCATGCAGCAAGCAATGCAGCGCTGTGCTGAAGGCAGAGCAGAATATATGTGGCCCGTGGTATATTGGACAGGCGCCTCTAAGCCAGACACGTTACAAGGGAGGGGCTACGGGTGAAGTCAGAGGCCAAGGCCATATTCATCCCATCCATCTAAAGCACTATGACGCCCTTTTAAACAGCCATGGCTTCTTCTCCCAGAGAATTATGGGAGCTGCAATTTGTTAAGGGAGCTGAAGGTTGTTAGGAGGTCCCAATTCCCTTCACAGAGCTATAACAGACCCACCGGTGTTCCTATTTTCCAGGGACAGTCCTGGATTTACAGAAGCCGTCCCAGTTTCTGATTTGATCCCAGAATGTCCTACGTTTCCTTAGGACGTCCCCAAGCCGAGGAGATAAGTAACTAGGCAACATTTAGGAGACACCTGAAGACAGCCTTGTATAGGGAAGGTTTAATGTTTAATGTTTTATTATATTTTCATATGTGTTGCAATCCGTCCAGAGTGGCTGGGGAAACCCAATCAGATGGGCAGGGTATAAATGATAAAATTACACTGGTCAACAACAAATTTGTTGTCTGCATTTTTTCAGTTGATTTAGGACGAATCTGATGCGCTGAATCAAAAAATCACATTGGTTTTGCTCAATCAGGTCAAGTTTTTGAGCTATGGCCACATGTCTTTTTTACGTTTTTGTTCACATGTACGCTTGTGTGGAGCATTTTAGAAGAAGTTGGTGGGGGTAAAATGCCATGTCGAATAATTGTTTTGATTGGAAATGATTATTTTAATGACAAGAAGTATTCAGGTCCGATAGTTCTGGGTGATTATGTCGAAAAGGGATCAGTTTGAAGTCATAAAACCTCGAAATCTTCCATAAATTGGTGCGGCAAAGCATAAAGTTGGGGGATCAAAACTAAGTTAATGGGGCAGCCGCCCCACGAAGTATCCTGATCTTCAATCAGCACGTCGTCCTGTAGCTCATTGTGATGAAATTCCAGTGCCTATCTTCGGAGAACTTCCTGACATTAGTGACGAAGATGCCTCCAGTGTTGAAGGACATGAAGAAGAAGAAGTGGTTCTTGAAGATGATGCTCCACATCCATTTTCCCAAAAGGAGTTGAATGATCTAGTTCGCGACCTCAGCTTGTCAAAGGACTCTGCCGAACTGTTGGCATCCAGATTGAAGGAAAAAAACCTCCTCTCTGACAGTGCTCGCATCAGCTTCTTCCTCAACAGGCATCAAGAGTACCTCCGTTTTTTCTCGGAAGAGAAGGACTTGGTGTACTGTGCAGATATTGCGCAGCTTCTGCTCAAGCTTGGAGTGCCACAGTACGAACCCAAAGATTGGAGACTGTTCATTGACAGCAGCAAGCGATCACTGAAATGTGTTCTGCTACACAACGGCAACCAGTTTGCCTCTATACCCCTGGCTCACTCGAGTACACTGAAGGAGAACTATGAAGCGGTGAAGTATGTGCTGGAGAAAATTGGTTATGATCAGCATAAGTGGTTTATTTGTGTTGACCTGAAGATGGTGAACTTTTTGTTGGGACAACAGTCTGGCTTCACCAAGTACCCATGTTTTCTGTGCATGTGGGATAGTAGGGACCGTGCTCAGCATTACACGAAGAAGGACTGGCCTGTGCGGGAGGAATTGGTGCCTTGCAAAGAAAGGAACGTCATCAACGACCCTCTGGTGGACAGAGACAGAATACTCTTCCCACCGCTGCACATCAAGCTCGGCTTAATCAAGCAGTTCACCAAGGCTCTGGACAAGGATGGTGACTGCTTCACTTACTTGTGCCAGGCTTTTCCAGGATTGACCATGGAGAAGTTGAAAGCTGGCATCTTTGACGGTCCTCAGATCCGTCAGCTCATCAGAGATCCAGAGTTCGGAAACTCAATGAACGAAGTGGAACTGGAAGCGTGGAAGGCATTTGTTCTGGTAGTGAAGAACTTTCTTGGCAACAATAAGGCCAGAAACTACGCAGAACTTGTCAACAACATGCTGACTGCTTTCAGAAACCTGGGCTGCAACATGAGCGTCAAGATGCACTACCTATTTTCACATATGGACTGGTTTCCTGAGAACCTGGGTTCAATGAGTGACGAGCAGGGGGAGAGATTCCATCAGGACATGAAAGAGATGGAGACCAGGTATCAGGGTCGCTGGGACGCAGTCATGATGGCTGACTACTGTTGGACTCTGAAGAGAGACCTCCCTGCCGCTGAGCATTCCAGGAGTTCCAAGAAACGGAAGTTCAAGCCCTGAAGTTTGAAAAATGGTGAAGCAACATGCAATTTACGTGTACTTACCTTTATCAATGCCCACCATTCAGTTTACAGTAAACCTGACCTGATGGAGAGAAACGGATGCCATTTCCTGATTCAGCAGTGCAAAAATACCCTAAATCAGTTGTAGAAATCTAGACAACATTCAAAAAGTAAAAAATTGTTGCCCAGTGTTATCGTTATTGTTATGGAATAGGATGTCCCTGTTTTCACTGGAGAAATCTTGGAGGGTATGCTACAAATGATTTAACACTCAATCCCTCTCCACAGGGAATTTAGCAGGACCCGGGCACAACAGCACTCTCTCTACTTGGGGTTCCCAACAACAGGAATTCAGAGGTTATAGTGTCTCCCACTTGGGCTACTGCAATGCTCTCTACGTGGGGCTACCTTTGAAGGTGACCCGGAAACTAGAAATAATCCAGAATGCAGCAGCTAGACTTGTGACTGGGAGCAGCCACTGAGACCACACAGCACCAGTCTTGAAACACCTACAATGGCTCCCAGTACATTTCCAAGCACAATTCAAAGTGCTGGTGCTGACCTTTAAAGACCTAAATGGCCTCAACCCAGTATACCGGAAGGAGCGTCTTCACCCCCATCGTTCAGCCCAGACATGGAGGTCCAGCTCCGAGGGCCTTCTGGCAGTTCCCTCAGTGCGAGAAGCAAAGTTACAGGGAACCAGCAAGAGGGCATTCTCGGTAGTGGTGCCCGCCCTGTGGAATACCCTCCCATCAGACGTTTAGAAGACATCTGAAGGCAGCCCTGTTTAGGGAAGTTTTTTATGACTGATGTTTTAATGTATTTCTAGTCTTTTGTTGGAAGCTGCCCAGAGTGGCTGGGGAGACCCACCAAGACGGGCGGGGTATAAATTGTTGTTGTTGTTGTTGTTGTTGTTGTTGTTGTCATTGTTTTCATCATCATCTCCAATAGTGGAGGGAGAACATAGCCACTGAAGCCACTGATAGCCTTATCTTCCATTTCCAATGCTCTTTTAAAGCTAGCCAAGTGTAGGGTTGCCATATTTCAAGTTGTTGAGCTTTCTTTACGAAAACCCCAAAATTTGTCTAAAAAGCTTTTTTAAAAAAACAAACAACTGCCAAAACTCCCACGAATTTTCAATTGTCAAAACAGCACCTTTCAGAAATTCCCTCTGGATATCAATTCTGCCTTTCGAAGTCCTGGGGACTTCAAGTGGCTGGGCATCCCCACATCGGATAGGAACGGATTCTATAATTTAACTCTTTTTGGGTCTGTCTTGTCTTGAATCTTACAACAGCCCTACATTTTGATTCAGTGCAGAGAAAAACAGAAGACAACAAGGCCTCTCCCGCCTAAGTCTTCCTTCCTTATGCTTTGACCAGTGGATCTGGGATCTGTTTTTACTTGCTCTGCTTATCCACTTAATACACACACTAGAAAGAACAAGAGCATTTTGTAGTGTTATTAGGCACAGAGAGGATGAAGGCATATAGCTGTCATCTAAATATTTTCCATTGAACCCGTAATTAACTATTTTTAAGAGCTTGGCTGCACTACAAAGATAGAGAGACAAAGAACGAAAGCATATTAAATTTCCTCTGCTATCAATCAGTAGTTCTCCCTCAAACACAAAGTGTCCCTTTGAGGCGATTCTTGTCTTATTGCTGTTTTGCTCAAAGGAGGTGGAGGCAAAAACAACAAAACAGACTCCGTGGCATTGGGAGTCCTTTGCATTACATACCTTGAGAAAGCGCAACGTTTTTAGGAGTACTAACGGAGCCATTTTGCTAATCCGTTCAGATAATTGAATTTAATTAATTTGTAGGTATTGTGGCTTACAACCCGTGCCAGAATTCACCTCTTATTTGGGTGCAGAAACAGCTTAATTAGCACCAGGAAACACACCATTCTGTTCTTAAATTAGAGATGTTATCGCAAATATCACTTTGGGATAATGTGTTTCTTTCCATCCCCATCTAAGCAAATTGCACTCCTAGATTATATTTATTGTGCCTCTGATAACTCAGCAGTTGCCCTTCAGGGTCCAAACCTATAAGAACATCAGCGCTCCAGATCATTATTGTCTCACTTCAACATTTTCCATATGCCATGGATTCATACAGAGCAAGCTGTTTGGAGTTGTATAAACTTCCTTTGGAACAAGGATGGCAAACCAAACCTTGCTGAGGTCATCAATGTTTTTTCTCTTTTCACCAGAAGAGTAGATGTTCAGAAGATATAACTTCACCGGGCTGAATTTCATTTGTTATACAGTTGTAGGAGACATGCTGGACATGGTGGTGGGATAGAATTGTGCTGTTGTTTAGTCGTGTCCAACTCTTCGTGACCCCATGGACCAGAGCACGCCAGGCCCTCCTGTCTTCCACTGCCTCCCGCAGTTTGGTCAAACTCATGCTGGTAGCTTCGAGAACACTATCCAACCATCTCGTCCTCTGTCGTCCCCTTCTCCTTGTGCCCTCCATCTTTCCCAACATCAGGGTTTTTTCCAGGGAGTCTTCTCTTCTCATGAGGTGGCCAACGTATTGGAGTCTCAGCTTCAGGATCTGTCCTTCCAGTGAGCACTCAGGGCTGATTTCCTTAAGAATGGATAGGTTTGATCTTCTTGCAATCCATGGGACTCTCAAGAGTCTCCTCCAGCACCATAATTCAAAAGCATCAATTCTTCGGCGATCAGCCTTCTTTATGGTCCAGCTCTCACTTCCATACATCACTACGGGGAAAACCATAGCTTTAACTATACGGACCTTTGTTGGCAAGGTGATGTCTCTGCTTTTTAAGATGCTGTCTAGGTTTGTCATTGCTTTTCTCCCAAGAAAACTTCTCTGAGTTATTCAAGCCCCTTCGCCATGGCAAGGCAGTGATCTATGAAGGGTGGATAGAATTGTAACCACCCCAAACTTAGGACTCTCCTTCTTCCTAATCCTCCTCTATAGGGTTTCCTAACCCTGTTGAACTGGCTGCATCTCATGTCATTTGACTTAGGGAAACAGAAAGAGGACTTAGTTATAACACCCCTATTCTTATGCCAAGAATTACTGCCCAGCATTCCCTGCCCCCTCCCTACCCCAATAAGGCAGTGCTCCATCTGCCATTTCCTGTATTCATTAACTGTGAAATAGCCAACTTCTGTACAGTTTTAAGAGCCAAGTGGGTCTTTGTTCATTACATTGGAAAAAGCACTATTGTCCTGCAAGCTGTTATCAGCCGTTTACAACAGCCCAGTTTGGATGATTGCACTACAGTTTATTAATCTGAAATACAGTATGTTTGAAACTTTTGCTCATGCACCGAACCCATTGGAGTATGCTATGATTAATTTTCTTAAAATTATATGTGTGTGTGTATGGTTCACAAGATAAAACTGTGAATCCCTTAAATAACATTAGTTTTCCATTTTGTCCCAACAAGGAAACCATGGTTACTAACTTTTGAGAAGGCAATAATCTTAAACTAACTTCAAACCATGGCTTACTCTCCTGACTTGTTCTGGAATCCATTAGTTAATCATGGCTTGATCGTGTCTTGCAGTAAAGTGAGGAGTGAAGGGTGAGTAAAAATTTTCAAACTTTCCAAAGCAATATGAGAACTGAAACACAGTCTTCTTTTTGAATTTTGCAGTGGAGCTGTCCACCCAAGTAGTGTGTTAAAAAAATGCATCAGAATGCTAATGTCAGTGAAAATAACTTACAAAACTGTATTATATTAGGAGAAATTGCTTTGCAAAAGTGTGCATATTAGGAGAAACTGCATAGGAAACTTGTGTATACTAGGAGAAGATGCTAGTGAATTTTCATAATGACTTTTGCAAAATTCGCAAACTGATGTGAAAATTTGGAGAGCTGGAATTTAAGATTGTAAAAATGAGGAGCAGAGAGAAATTGAAATGCACAGCTTCAGCCATCCCTACCCTTGGTCTCCAAGGTCCTAGTCTAAAATTGTAACACTGGCTGATTATAAAATCAATTACTATTTACCATCAATCATTCTTCGTATAGCTGCCTCTTAAAAATTCAAATCAGAAGCATCATCAGAAATCATTCTTTGCTCATGATCATGACAGAAGTCTTTCTTTGCTCATGATCATGACAGCCACAGAAATATTCCATAGAGGCAAAACATAGCATTCCAGTCCCAATGTTTTCTTTTCTTATTATTCAAAATTGCTACCACCACACATAATAAGATTCCAAGTTAATGAACTGAATACAGAGGCTGGAGTGTATGTACCAAACATTCTATGTCCGAAATATGTATATCCTGGTGGTGGTGGTGGTGGGGAGACCTAATTTTTCCCCTAGTGGCACAGTGACCTAGACAAGTCTGGACCTGCCTGGTAGCCTCGACAACAGGAAGAGTGATGAATGGGTCAAGTCTCCCTTTTGCTCTGGCTGAGCAGCCTCTGCCATGGCACCATCCATCAGCGTGACACTTCAAGAAATTCTGCTCAGATTTATCGACAGGGCATTCTGCAGGCAGAAGGCAAAGGCATATATCCCCAAAGCTGAAAGAGGAGATAACCAGTAAGGAGCATTATGCCATTTACTTATCCGAGAAGCAAATTGACAAATTCTGCTTGGCTCAGACAGCTAAGTTCGAAGTGTAAGATTGGAAATGTATGCTTCTGCTTTAGACAAACCACAGTTGATTGTGTCTTCTTGACCCTAATCTCTGGTTAATCTAAAGCAGGCTTCCTCAAACTCGGCCCTCCAGATGTTTTGAGACTACAATTCCCATCATCCCTGACCACTGGTCCTGCTAGCTAGGGATCATGGGAGTTGTAGGCCAAAAACATCTGGAGGGCCGAGTTTGTTGAAACTAACCAGCAACTTTATACACTATGGTTTGTATTTGGTTTGTTTCAACTAACCACGGTCAAGACTAGTCACAGTTTGCCTGGGTTTGGTCAACAGGGAAGGCTATGGCTGATGAAAAATGGAAGCACATGCTTTTGATCTTCCCACTACCTTTCTAGAAAAGGTAAGAAGTGTGGAGTGCACAAATCTAAGGCTCATTCTCATAACCGTATTTTATCATTATGAGCCAACAGGTCATTTCCTGCTTGGACATCTCTTACCGATTTATTTGGACCTTAACATTTAAATACCTTTGGTCTTGAAGAGTGTTCTAGAATGCATTCTAGAAGCTGGTCCTGGTCCTGGTGTACAAAGCCCTATACAGCTTGTGATCAGGACAGCAGAAAGATTGTTTCATCCCTTCTGTACTATACAATGCCAAAGTAAGGCCTTTATGGTGGTGGCACCAACTCCCTCCCTTTTCGTATCAGAAAAGTGCCATTTCTATTGTATTCTTAGCATCACTGATTTTAAAAACACTTAACTAAAAAGGTGCCCAAGATTAAGCAGGTATGTTTTTAAAAAATGTTTTAATACAAGGTAAGCATCATCTTAAGAGAGGAGTTCTGCTTCTCTCAGAGGAGGACTATATTTTCTAGAATAAAACCTACTACTACATGTTTTCACAATCTAAAAACAAAGTGTGTTCAGAAATAGTTTTACCCAGATGCAAGTTTAATTGATAGTCCAATCTGATTGACTAAAACTCACATTATTATATTTTTATATTTTAAAAAATACTCTAATCAGATTGCAATCTTACCAATAGTATAATTCCAGTGAACACAAAAACTAAATCAGTACTATCAGATACTGCAATACCTTCCAAAACAAATAAAAAGCCTAACCTTGAAAATAAAGAGTATCTGGAAACCTGAGGTACTGTATACAGCCCTCCTCACCATTAGAATAGACTCGTAGATTTGGAAGGGACCCTGAGGATCATCTAGTCCAACTCCCTGCAATGCAGGAATATGCAGCTGCCCTAGAAGGGAATCGAACCTGCGATCTTGGCGTTTTCAGCACCACACTCTAGCCAACTGAGCTATCCACAAGTGCCATGACCCATGACTCAGAGACCATATGATGTGCAATGGATTCAAAAGGAAGAGGAGCCTTTGACTCTGTCCTTTTGCCGGGGGGAGGGGGCGACGACTTTCAGGACTGTCTTCAGTCCCCTCCCAACCAGAGGACACAGCCTTGCCAGCTTCTGATAGTTAAACAGGGGGGAAACAATGCTGTCCAGAGTTGTAAAGACTGCGGAGAGAATAACTGGGTGCACTCTTCCCACCGTGGATCAAATCTATGCTTCCAGATGCTATAAATAAGCTGCAGAGATAGCACGGGATAGTGTGCACCCCGGAAATGATCTCTTTCAGCTTCTGCCTTCTGGAAGAAGGTACAGGGTTATAAAGACTAGGACTAGCCGCCTGAGAAACAGTTTCTATCCAAACACGATTTTGGTTTTAAATGCAGTGTAAGGAGTCTCTTGGGATGCCGGTGGCGCTGTGGGTTAAACCACAGAGCCTAGGACTTGCCGATCAGAAGGTCGGCGGTTTGAATCCCTGCGACAGGGTGACCTCCCGTTGTTCAGTCCCTGCTCCTGCCAACCTAGCAGTTCGAAAGCACGTCAAAGTGCAAGTAGATAAATAGGTACCACTCCAGCGGGAAGGTAAACAGTGTTTCTGTGCGCTGCTCTGGTTCACCAGAAGCAGCTTAGTCATGCTGGCCACATGACCTGGAAGCTGTACGCCGGCTCCCTCGGCCAATAAAGTGAGATGAGCGCCGCAACCCCAGAGTCGGTCACGACTGGACCTAATGGTCAGGGGACCCTTTACCTAAGGAGTCTCTGTGGGAGTGGACTGTATTTTTAAAATGGGGTATCAGAGTTTTTAGGGGGCTAACCAGGTTCGGATAGCTAGGATAGCAGGCTTGTTGGTTTTGAATGTCTTATGTAGATTCCCCCCCCCCCCAATTTTGTTATTCTGTATGGGACAATGACAATAAAGATTATCGTATCGTATCGTTAGTTATTTCATTATTGCACTGCTGCTGTTGATGATGAAAGAAACAAAAAGAGAATAGGTTCGGGGCTGGATTACCCAACTGGCAAACTAAGCATGTTCTTACGGCACCATAATGCAGGGGCACCACAGATTTAAATTTAACATTTGATATTTCACAAAAAAATAAAGGATCAAAGCTCAGTTGGTAGAGCCTGATACACTTAACCACAGGGTCATAGGTTTGAGCCCCATGTTGGGCAAAAGATTCCTGCATTACAGGGAGTTGGACTAGATGATCCTTGTGGTCCCAACTCTACTATTCTATTCTATGACATCTATGACAACAGACTACCTTAACCACCTGTACACAAACTTCCCCCATCTTTCTGTTCCTATTTTATTGCTTATCCTCACCTAAACCAGGAACCATCCGACTAATGTAGATGGAAATGATGTGAGGAAATCAGATCTTGTTATAATAATAATAAATAATAATAATTTATTATTTGTACCCCACCCATCTGGCTGGGTTTCCCCAGCCACTCTGGGCGGCTTCCAACAAAACACTAAAATACAATAATCTTTTAAATATTAAAAGCTTCCCTAAACAGGGCTGCCTTTAGATGTCTTCTAAAAGTTTGGTAGTTATTTTTCTCTTTGACATCTGGTGGGAGGGCGTTCCACAGGGCGGGTGCCACTACCAAGAAGGCCCTCTGCCTGGTTCCCTGTAACTTGGCTTCTCGCAGCGAGGGAACCGCCAGAAGGCCTTCGGCGCTGGACCTCAGTGTCCGGGCAGAACGGTTTATGGGTTAGAATTGTAAGATTTGTGGAACTGCAGTTGGGAGAGCCCACAAGGATCATCTATTGTAGTCCAACCCCCTGCAATGGAGGAATAGGCAACAGTCTCATATAGGGATTGAACCTGCAGCCTTGGTCTTATCAGCACCATGATTTATCCACCTGAGCTATCCGGGCCATGACGTAATAAATCTGTTTTGTTTTATTTCTCTTTTTATGGTTTAGTGTTGTTTTTATTTTGAATCACATAGGGAGGGCACCATCATTTTTCATTGGTTAGGGTATTCATCCAGCCCTAGGTACATGGGTCCTAGGCTGCATAGGGCTTTAAAGGTGCTGGTTTTGACCTTTAAACCCCTATACCACGTGCCTACGGGACCGCCTCTCCTGGTATGCCCCGCGGAGGACCTTAAGGTCCACAAATGACAACACTTTGGAGGTCCCAAGCCACAAGGTGGTTAGATTGGTCTCAACTAGGGCCAGGGCCTTTTCACAAGAGACTAGGGCCCTGTGGGACTGTCTTTCCGCAGGGCCTGAAAGACAGAGCTGTTCCGCCTGGCCTTTGGTTTGGACTCAGTCTGACCCTCCCCTTATGGTCTTGATATTTCAGCTACTTTTAAAATGAGGCTGCATTTTAAATTGCATTTTAACCTGTATTTTAAATTGTCCCCCCCCCATTATGTTTTTATTGTAATATTACTGGTGTTAGCCACCCTGAGCCCAGCTCTGGCCAGGGAGGGCGGGGTATAAATAAAATATTATTATTATTATTACTATTATTATTATTATTATTATTATTATTATTATTACTATTATTATTACTATTACTATTATTATTATTATTATTATTATTATTATTATTATTTAAAACAGGTAGGTTAAAATATTCAGTCATCAGGAAAACCAAATGAAAAATAGCGCAGGTTAGGTAGACAATTTAGAGCATGATGTACAGAGGGGAGGAAGGATCCTCATATAGGCCTTAAATCTAGTCTGTTCTAGAGCGCAATGCTATGTTGCCTTTTATGGGCTGACCATATGGAAATCGAGCTTTTGCTGTGTCCCACACAGCCGTTTTCCTAATCCTGCCTCCTGAACCATTTAATTATACTCCATCACAAAACCCAGAGCTGAGTCTTGACAGGAACAATGATCACCTTACTTCCATTGTGGCCATTGGGGGGCATTTCTATAGGCAACCGAGAGGGAGGGGGAACCACACAAGCCTTTTAGACTTCTGGGGTTGAGGAAGAGAGAGGGGCAAAAGCATTTTATCAGTCACGTCACATCCCCTGCCCAATTCTAAGACCAAAGAATTGCATGCATGCGCATATATATATATATATATATATATATATATATATATATATATACCAACCCTCCTCTCACAAGGACATGTTCACAAAGAGGCCATTCATGGGAACTGTGCTGAGGCGAATGCAGGGCACAAAGGTCAGAGGGCCCTGAACTTTGATCTATGGTTTTGAATTTGGCAGGCTTTGAGAAGGCTCCTGCTTCACTGGGTTTCCTTGATTAACCCAATAAGAATGGCCGGAGAAGGGTCTGTGATCTGCCTCGGATTAGCGGCCTAGACGGTGTTCTGCGAAGCTTAAAAATCTCATCAAGCAGCATAATGAGAAATCAGGGAGAGAAAGGGTGAATGGGGAAAAGGGAGGAGGGACTCAGCTTTGGGTTTTAATTATGCAGGCACAGATCTGAAATGGAAGAAGTTACCTGGGAAGTTGCATCTGCGGAACAATCAGGGCATTGTCTGCCTGGCAGAAGTGATTTCTATTATTATTTATTTTTTATTTTAAAAAAAACTTGGAAGAAGCTAGAATTGGACAAAAGGTATTGATTTGATGGGTATGTCTCGCCCATTTCAAAAAGGCCATTTCTTCTCCCCGCAAGAACACTCTCTATTGTTGATTTACCATTTAAAAGAAAGAGAACGGCATCCCTAAACTTAGGAGGAGAGCTTAAAAGAAAAGAAGACTTAAATAGGACAAAATTCTGCTATTACTTATATTCATAAGTGACCTGGAAGGAGCTTGAGCTGACATGCAGCTTGTCCCCTCCCCCCTCCTGTTTTATTCTCACAGCAACCCTGTGAGGTAGGTGAGGCTGAGAGACCGTGAATGGCTCAAGGTCCCCCAGTGAGCTTCTTGGCTTCCTTCGGATATGAACCCATGTCCTAGTCCAACAGGGACGCGGGTGACGCTGTGGGTTAAACCACAGAGCCTAGGACTTGCCGATCAGAAGGTTGGCAGTTCGAATCCCAGCGACGGGGTGAGTTCCCATTGCTCGGTCCCTGCTCCTCCCAACTAGCAGTTTGAAAGCACAAAGTGCAAGTAGATAAATAGGTACCACTCCGGCGGGAAGGTAAATGGTGTTTCTGTGCGCTGTTCTGGTTCGCCAGAAGTGCTTGAGTCATGCTGGCCACATGACCCGGAAGCTGTACGCCGGCTCCCTCAGCCAATAAAGCAAGATGAGCGTCACAACCCCAGAGTCGGCCATGACTGGACCTAATGGTCAGGGGTCCCTTTACCTTTACCTAGTCCAACACTCTAACCAGCACATTGGTTCAATTATTCAGAGGGATAAATTCACCACAATTCACATAGCCAGACCATGCCCTGAGTCCTGGCATGGCTGTCCTAGAGTGGCAAAATCTGTTAATTTTGATTTCTCTCGTTTCCCCCCTTTCCCCCCATCTTAAGTTCAGTCGTCCACATTTGCATATCACTTTTAGGTGTTCCCCCTCCTCCAAAGTCCTCATGAAAATTCATTAGCATTTCAGTGCAACATTCTCCTCATATACACGTTCTTACAAAGCAATTTCATGCACACTTTACCCAAGTATATGCAGTTTTGCACTCATCACTTGCAAAAGTTCAGATTGCAAAATTTGGAGACATGCGAATGTCTAAGCATACGATTGCATACTGTTTCAGAAAGTATGGATTAGGTATTGTATTGTAATTTTATCTTGTGAACCACCCTGAGACCCACGGGTATAGGATAGTAAACAAATTTAATAAATAATAATGAATAAATGAATGAGTGAGTGAGAACTGAATCAAATTTCTCCCTCACTCCTGTCTGTCCCACTGTTGGAACTCAGAGTCTAGTACATCCTCATATTGTGTGTGTGTGTGTGTGTGTGTGTGTGTGTGATTTTTATTAAGCTTTCTATTTTACAATTTAAAATATTCATTAAAGAGCCTTAAAATGTCAATGACTTCCCTTCTTCTCTTTCAATGGTTCAATTTGCATATCATAAATCCCTGCATATTTTACATAAACTAAACCATTCAGTATTCCATTAATACATCCATCAAAACTTGTTTACACTGTTGAATTTATCTTAATACTGCCAGCGTTTTCATGGACCTAGTTCATTCTTGATCCATTCTTACCAGGGGAAGTCTGCCTTTCAATCCTAAAGTAAGCTGGCACCAGCCATAAAGAGCAGCCACTTGGGTACTGCAAACCTAAGGCCACACCCACCTCATTCCTATGTTGACAACAGCCTCTGTAGCTTGGTACTACCTGTGACCAACACGTTCACCTTTCAGGGTCTCAGGGTCCTCCATATGGCTCTTCCTCAATCATTGGACACTTGCTATGGTGGGACAATGGGGAAAGCTCTCCTCTGCACCTCCCACCAGATGTACCTCTGAGAATGCTATAGAATCAGCAGGCCGTCATCTGTGGACTGCGGTGACCTTGACAGTGTATGCAATCTCTCAGATAGCTGTTTAGGGCTTTGTAGACCAGATCTTGGCTCAGAAGATAATCCCCAGCCAGTGCAACTCCCTCTGTACTGTTATCACATGGCATGGGAGGAATGCAAGTGGTCCATTGGCTCTGTAATGGGGAGGAGAAAGTCCAAATGGAGCAAATGTTGGCTGTTGACCCATTTTCTTATTTTAAGCACAATACTTTTCGACAGTTCCTTAAGTGTATTTTTAATATTTTCTGCATATACAAATTAACTTAGTTTGCTCATTTATTCATCTACTTTAAATATATACTCTCATAAAACTGCAGGTTCTTAGAATAATCCTACCAATGTTCTTATCAGTTTACAGTTTATTTATAAATATTCAATAAATCATTTCCATTCTTTTATAAAAAGTTTGTTATCTTGATTTCTTATTTTTCAGTAAGTTTCGCCATTTCTGCATATTCCATAAGTTTTTGTATCCATTCTTCTTTTGCTGGGACTTCTTCTTCTTCCCATTTTTGGGCAAGTAACTTTCTTGCTGCTGCAGTCACATACATGAATAAATGTTTAGTCTGTCCCTATAATCCTCAGATTATAGTCTGTCCCTATAATCCTCAAAAGGCAAACTTCTGGGTTGTTGTTGTTGTTTTACAAACATTATTTTAAACATCTTTTTCAATTCATTATATATCATTTCCCAGTAAGCTTTAACATTGCTACAAGACTGCCACATGTGATAAAAAGAACCTTCTTTCTCTTTACATTTCCAACACTTATTTGATTTGGATTTAAACATTTTTGCCAATTTACTCGGTATTATGTACCATCGATACAACATTTTCATATAATTTTCTCTTAGTCCATACCATGCTGTAAATTTTATATCCACATTCCACATTATTAGCATTATAAATTTAATTAATTACTTGCCCTTCACCCAAGGTGCCAGGGCAATGGCGTAGTGTGGATTGCCAGGAAATGGATGGAGTACGCATGCGCATTCAACTGCCTAACAGCATCCATGTCACCCAGGAAACTGCAGCTGCAGAGATAAGAAATTAAGAGTTGCTCTGTTGTCTGGAGAGGCCACTTCCTGGTTCGTATGGAGAAGCTGTTTTCAGTGGAACCCAGCAATGGAAGTATGCAGCTGTATTGAGGCAGCACCGGGTGTTGAAAATTTGTGCCCCCAATAGTTTTGCACCCAGGGCAGCAACCCTGTGCCCCACACTGTGTCAGCGTGAGTCACAGGAATAGAAAAGGCAGTATTAAGAACAGCTTAAACAAAATCAGTCATGGGAGTAGGGTGGGTCCTAAGGCCACTATTCAGATAGCCAACTGCAAGTACCATGTGTTTGTTATTGTGTCGTACTCTTCATTATACAAAAGGATAAAGGTAAAGGGACCCCTGACCATTAGGTCCAGTCGTGACCGACTCTGGGGTTGCAGCGTTCATCTCGCTTTATTGGCCGAGGGAGCCGGCGTACAGCTTCCAGGTCATGTGGCCAGCATGCTCTGGTGAACCAGAGCAGCGCACGGAAACGCCGTTTACCTTCCCGCTGGAGCGGTACCTATTTATCTACTTGCACTTTGACGTGCTTTCAAAATGCTAGGTTGGCAGGAGCAGGGACCGAGCAACGGGAGCTCACCCTGTTGCGGGGATTCGAACCGCCGACCTTCTGATTGGCAAGCCCTAGGCTCTGTGGTTTAACCCACAGCGCCACCCACGTCCCTTATACGAAAGGATACTCAAGACCTTATAAAGAGGGATGGAGGGGGGGAGGGAGGAATTGGGAGCTGATGGATGGGAAAGAAAAGGACACATGGGGGGGTGGGAGGGAAATCTCTATGAAATCCCAGTCGCGAAAACACAGCCACACAGTCAGCTTCTGTAGTAGTCCCATCCATCATCAGGCTAATCCCTTGGCTTCAGCCATCGATGATGGAAAGTATCTGACCTGTAATACATTGCCCTGACTTCTCATGTATCAGCAAGGGGAAGGTTCCCAGGAAAGAGCCTGAAACTATTAAGGGGAAGAGCAGGGAAAGGTCTCTTGTAGGTGAACAGGGTAGCAACAGACAGCATTCATAGAATAGAATCATAGAATCATAGAGTTGGAAGAGACCACAAGGGCCATCGAGTCCAACCCCCTGCCAAGCAGGAAACAATTGTTCTCATCAAGATGGCCAGGGCTGAACAAAACAGGAAAAGGGGGTGTAGACGCCAAATACCTCTCAGTCTCCATGAGAGAAAAGGGTTTATATTTAAAAGTAACTATTATGATTCGTTGGAATTCACCCTGGAGGGCAGGAAATTCCCTGTGAGAAAAGGGGAATTTTCCAATTCCACAACACTAGGCCTGACTGTGATGACATCCCTGAAGTCAACTTGTTTTAGAGATCACTAGACAAGTCTAATTGGTTCTTGCTTGGAAAGAAGTCAAGAGCTTATAGCTCCAAACATTTTATTTTAATTTTTTTAGTCCTCTTGCTGAACACATTATACTTTTAAAGCACTATGATGCTGTTTTACATGGCTTCCCCTAAATATTCACGGGAACTGTAGTTTGTTATGGGTGCTGGGAATTGTTAGGGCTTCTCCATTCCTATCACACTGCTACAGTTCCCAGGGTGACAACTGCCCGTGCGGAGCTTATCTGAGGTCCGGAGCAGGAATCTTGTTAGAATAAAGTTATAAACTAAAAAAAGCAGCCGGTATCTGGTGGGGGGCCCTGATCGGCTTAACCCTCTGAGGTCTGGGGCAACTGTACCCGGCTGCCCACCTCCTCTGGGAATTGCAACTCCATGAGGAGAATATGGGACATCTCACAGCTATCAGTTCACGTCATTCTTTGGGAGGAAGCCATGACTGAAATAACCCTCAGAGAGCTGCAGTTTTCAGGGTTCCTTGGGAGGAGGGGTTGGTTATTAATCCGCTTTGGGAACTGCAGTTTTGTGAGAGCAGTAGGAATCTCCCAATGATTCTCAGCGCCCTTAAAAGGTAAAGGTAAAGGGACCCCTGACATGAGACACCACTGCACTATTGAGTCATGGTTTAAGTTCCTTATATTTACAAAGCCCCAACAACTTGGGTCCTGGTTATTTTAAAGGCAAAGGTAAAGGGACCCCTGACCATTAGGTCCAGTCATGACCAACTCTGGGGTTGTGGCGCTCATCTCGCTTTATTGGCCGAGGGAGCCAGTGTACAGCTTCCGGGTCATGTGCCTAGCATGACTAAGCTGCTTCTGGTGAACCAGAGCAGCACACGGAAACGCCGTTTACCTTCCCACCGCAGCGGTACCTATTTATCTACTTGCACCTTGATGTGCTTTTGAACTGCTAGGTTGGCAGGAGCAGGGACTGAGCAACAGGAGCTCACCCCATTGCGGGGATTCGAACCGCCGACCTTCTGATCAGCAAGTCCTAGGCTCTGTGCTTTAACCCACAGCGCCACCTGCACCCCCCTCAGCGCCCTTAAGAAATGACAATTTCCAGGATTTGGTTGTGGGTGTGAACTGTGTGGTATGATGATGCTTGAACTGCATAGGGTCTTTATACAGTTCTCTGCTTTCCCTGATGAGCAAGAAAAGTAAAAGCATACAAGGATCCAATAGGCCTCAAGACATTTGCCCAATGATGCTTGAATGAATTTTCTGCTGGCTGTGTGCAACGAGAAGGTGGCTCAATACCAAAGTGGCGAGGAGGCCAGCGCAGTGCACATGCAATGGTGGAGTCAGTCCACTGCATCTGCCAGTGTGTTTGCACCACACCAACCTCTCCTCCATTAGCCCCTCCCCTTCTTATCAGTAAGCAGCAGGAACTCAGCTATAAGGAGGTCAGGTGAGTGATGCTGTCCCACCATGCAGTCTGCTACTGACAACAAGGATACCGTGGAGAGAGGAAAGCGTCTAGCAGGTGAGGTTTACAGGCCTTCTGTTGCATACATACAAAAGTTCATATGCAGGGATGATGTGTGCATAAAAATGCATATATTGTTGAAAATAACACATACAAACACATTATTATTATTATTATTATTATTATTATTATTATTATTAGAGTGGGTGGAGCCATGGTCTAAACCACTGAGCCTCTTGGGCTTGCCAATCAGAAGGTTGGCGGTTTGAATTCCCGCAACAGGGTGAGCTCCCGTTGCTCTGTCCCAACTCCTTCCAACCTAGCAATTTGAAAGCATACAAGCACGAGTAGATAAATAGGTACCGCTGTGGCAGGAAGGTAAACAGAGTTTCCATGCGCTCCAGCACTCACCATAGTTTCGTCATGCTGGACACATGACCCGGAAAAGCTGTCTGAGGACAAACGCTGGCCCCCTCGGCCTGAAAGCGGAGGTGAGTGCTGCACCCCATAGTCAAATTTGGCTGAACTTAACCATCCAGGGGTCCTTTACTACTACTACTACTACTACTACATCATCATCATCATCATCATCATCATCATCATCATCATTGGAAAATGCTTTTCCAAAATGTCTGTGTTAGGCAAAAAAGTATACAAAAAAGGGTATAATAGGATTAATTCACACTAAAATGTGAATGAATTTTCAGGATGACATTTTTTAAAAATTGCAAACTGAAGTGGAAATGTGGAAAGCTGCATTTAAGATTGGAAGAAATGATAAAATGGTACAGAAACTGAAACTGACAGATTCACCTATCCCTAGTGGAGACCCCCTAGAATTCTTTGAAGATCACCAAAAGAGTCAAGATAATTTATGTCCAAATGCACGTGCAATTACAAGAACCTTCTTTTCCCCCAAGTACTTCCATTCAGAAGCTTCTTTCACGTTTCTCTTTGTTCTTGCAAAAGCTTTCTGCAGGCCAGTAGGTGTACTTTTATGAGCCGTCTTAGGAAGAAAAAAAGTGTTTAATGCCTGCCCTTTCACAATCCAGGCAGGAAGAGTAAGTTCATATTTCAGGTTAAGGCACAAAGGCCCACTGGAAGTCATTATTCCCTGGATGTGAAAGAAGAGTGATCTAATCAGAGTAAGACTGTGGAGGAATGGAAATTAGCTGATGCATAAAACTACTTGTGGTTCTTGATGAGGCAATGACATCTAAAATACAGAGCATGGCTATGCCCACAATGTTCCGCCCAATTCAAATTCCATCTTGATTTCTAGTTTGGAACAAGGACAGAAAAAATGTAGTATAACCCTTCCCCCCCCAAAAAAAATATAGAGGTAGGAATAGATAAGTGCATCAGGGTATTCCCATTCCATGCACATGTTTCGTGTCTCCAGTTATAAACCTGTTCTGTCCCGTTTTCTGTAGTTTTGCTTTTACATCGCTAGTGATGTTAAATTCTTGAGAATAAGCTTTTCTCAAGAATATTCTCTATTAATGAGGTGTGTACATTTAAAGCAGCTTGTGCTGGTCCCGGGGGCTAACCGAGAGGCGAGGTCCGAGTCCAGTCTGAGGTCGAGGGTGCAAAATGAAGGCAGTCCGTAGAAGTTGAAGCTGGTTGCAGGGCAGGGCATCGGGTGAGGTCAGGAGCTCCGGCAGGGAAGCAGGTCAGGGATCAGGCTGGAACTGACAACCAACTATGTTGCTCCCACAACTTGGGACTGGGACTGGCTGGCTTTTATCTTCCCCAAGTCATAGGGTGGCCCTGATCCTCTGGTAACTCGCCTCTCCTGGCCTGGAGGCGAGCACTCCTCCTGCGGGAACTTAGTTCCCTCCGCCTCTCTGCCCTGAGCCTCTGCAGCTCAGGAGAGGCTGGAGGGTTACCGGACCCAGAGGCAACCTCAGCTTCCTCTGACGGGGCTGAGGGTGGAGCACCTGCAGGCAATGGGTCCTCCATCCCCTCAGGAGCCAGAGCAGACTCAGCTGGTGCCTGCACCTGAAGATCCAGCACAGGTGAGGACCCTTCAGGCTCATGCCCCAGCCCCGGCTCAGCTGGTTCTGGAGGTGGGGACTCCTGTGCAGGCTGGGATTCCTCAGGTTCAGCATCCGAATCTGATTCCCAGGCCATCACACAGCTGTGTAGACGACACAGAATTTATAGTTTGTAGAGAATATTCTCCGGAGAATTTTCCAGTAGAGAATATTCTCACCTCACTTCGCACAGACAAAAATCGCATTTAAGTTGTACATCTTTTTTGTACTCACTTCCCTTTAAAATATGTAAAATATGTAGGTGTTTTAGTCCTAAAACATGCGTTTTAGTCTTTTCTATGCATTTCCCCCCCAAAGCGTGCATATTGTACACATTTTTTTTGATCCCAAACAACACAACTGAATTTGTAGACGTGGAGAATCTGCTTGTGTTCCAGACAATATATACGCCAGGGAAGTGCAAATGTGGTTAATTTGCTTTAAAATTATATCCTCCCACCCACATTCCTACACATGGTACTGTTCAACCTCTAGCAAGTCACATGTAATATTGACATTTAAGGTGGGGTTTGGGGGTTAAAAGGTCACATGGATCCAAGTTTTGCCACTGCAATAGCAGGTTGCAGTCACTGGAAGATATCTTGTAATTTAACTCACCAAAACTGTTGCTCCTTGTAAGAAGGGAATGCCGCGAATAATTATTTCTCATTCCCTGTTACAGTGACATACGAAGAGGAAGAGGGGGGAGGGTTTCTTCTTCTTTTTAAAAAATTAATTTTCAGCCCTGCTGATTACCTTACTCTCCACGGGTCACTTAAAGCTTGGGTTGATTAATCTACTGATGAATCTGATTAAACGGATTGAAGCTTGCAGCATTGATTTTAAGCAGAGTCGGGGAATGTATTTCAGGTTGAGAAATGCTGGAAACCTTTCAGGGGCCACATGCATGTGTTGGGTGGGGCCAGAAGCAAAAGTGGTCAGAGCAATGAATTTAAACTTTCCCTTTGTACAGCAGGATCATTTCTACACACACACAAACATATCCCATACCCTCCAACATTTCTCTGATGAAAACAGGGATGTCCTATTCCATAACAATAATATTTTTATTTATACCCCACTCTTCTGTTTGGGTTGTCCCAGCCACTCTGACATATATAAAAACATAATAAAACATTAAACATTTTAAAAACTTCCCTATACAGGGCTGCCTTCAGATGTCTTCTAAAGGTTGTATAGTTACTTGTCTCCTTAGCTCGCAGGTTGCATAACTCCATGCCCTCCAACATTTCTCCAATGAAAATAGGGACGTCCTAAGGAAAAGTGGGACATTCTGGGATCAAATCAGAAACTGGGACAGTTTCTGTAAGTTCCAGAGTTTACCTGGAAAATAGGGACATTTGGAGGGTCTGACATACCCCTCCATTGTCCATAGGGATGCGGGTGGCGCTGTGGTCTAAACCACTGATCCTCTTGGGCTTACTGATCAGAAGATCAGTGGTTCGAATCACTGTGATGGAGTGAGCTCCCGTTGCTCTGTCCCAGCTCCTGCCAACCTAGCAGTTCGAAAGCACACCAGCACAAGTAGACAAATAGGTATCGCAGTTTCTTTGCGCTCTGGCTTCCATCACAGTGTTCCATTGCGCCAGAAGTGGTTTAGTCCTGCTGGCCACATGACCCAGAAAGCTGTCTGCAAACAAACGCCGGCTCCCTTGGCCTGAAAGCGAGATGAGCACCACAACACACAGTCGCCTTTGACTGAACTTAACCATCCAGGGGTCCTTTACCATTACCCACTGTCCATTCAGGCAAGCAAGAAGCATTATCGGAATCCAGTGACATATTCCAGCCAGGTGAAGGATGGGATGTAAAACATTCACCTTCCTGGTGACTCAGGAAGGTGTGTGGCTTACAGAGGGACCTGAGAGCCAGATGGAGAGAGCTGAGAACCACACTGGGCACACTGGGCCCAAGGTTCCCCACCATAGTTGTCAACTTACAGATTTGAAAATAAGGGACCAGCAGCCTCGAAAATAAGGGATCAGCAGCCAAAAAAGGGGATTTTAGCCAGCCAGCTGAAATACGAAGTTAAAAGGGACCAGATAATTTGGGAGAGCAGCGCCGGTTTTTAGCCCTTTGTTACCAGAGGTTGCTGCTCAAGACACCAGCCGATGAAACACTGCAATTAAATAACTACAAGCAGCAACCACTTTACGTGCAAAACGAAGTCCAAGCTATGAAGATGCTGCTGCACTTCTGTATCTTTTCTCTCGTGCTCCATCTGCAGCTCTCAGTTCCATCAGGCGGGGCGGGAGGAAAGGGGGGGGAATAGCGCCCGAAGTAAACCCGCAGATCAGACCATCTATGCTAGTCTACCACTACAAATCTATGGGAGAAGCGCTTGCAGTCCTTCCCCCACTTTCCCCCTCTATGGTTAGCCCTTGGAACACCTGCCCGCGCCTCCGCCTCCACCTCCTCTCTCTGAACTGCTTTCTCTATGGTTGCCCTCGCTCTCCTCTCAAGGCTCCTCAGCAATTCATAGGCCGCGCCAGGCTGCCCATCTCATCCGGGTCCTTCGGCAGCGCAGCCACAGTACGGCCTAGCGGGAGTGGCGGCGGCAGGCAGAGACGCTCAGTTCGCCAGCCGCAAGGAGGATGGCGGTGGAAGGGCCCGAGTCTCCCGCCAGTCCCGGCGGGGAGGGGCTCCCGGGGGCCGAGGCTGGTGAGAGGAGGCCGGAGGGGGAAGGGCCGGTCAGCCAAGCAACACAGTTGGAGCCTCCCTCCTCTCTGGCCGGCAGGGAGCGAGTGAGAGGAGCTGCTTCCTTTGAAACCCGGGAAATTTAAGGGACATCATCAATAAGGGACAGCAGCAGGACACGGGGCTGGTATATGGGAGTTTCCCGCCAAATAAGGGACGGTTGACAGCTATGTTCCCCACCTCTGTCTTAATCAAACATTTCAGTAAGCCTTTTGTATACATGTGACTAATACAAAAAAATAATAATAGAGATGGAGCAGATCCGAATAGGGAGCATATTGTACTTCTCAAACAAGTTAAGCTGGCAGCTTGGTAAATCGGAACTATGAAGCAGTATTGCAGCCTCTGCTTGGATTTTCTGGTTTATCGCTAACAAGCTGAGATTTCTGAAAACAAGCCTTTGTAGGCATAGCGGTGCCCTCCCTAAGTCCGCGCGAATAAAAGGACCCATTCCAGACACATCTGTACTTAAATAAATAGGATGCAAATACCTTATATAGTTAAGCAACCTAACAAACTGGCCCATTTGCATCATGTTGGCTCCTTTAAATGCTCTTGCAGGAGACTCTGGTGTTGGAAAGACAAAGAGGAGAGACTAGTCAGGATTATATTTTTCAACAGGCAGCACAGTTGTAAGTAATCCTCTCTGCACCCACAGTCTTCGTTGGATTTTTCAGTCTAGAGGAATTGCCTATGACCAGCCAAGATGACCCACAATGTGTGATTGTGATGTGCTTTTGCATGTTCTGTGTGTCTGCCTGGTCCTCATCACAGCTTGCCAGCTGTCCCAGTGGGGCCCAGGCACCCCCAAAAGCTTGGTGGCTCCTGGTCTAACCACTGCATCACACTGTCTCAATCCATAACTAAAGGAATAGGTACTGCATATAGTAACCACTAGGTGGCTTCCTCTGCAAACATTAACGTACTGGCAGAATGTTTGCTTCAAAATTAAAATGCACATGCACTGCCTTCCTTTGATGCCATGGGTTTTAATGGTGCAGGAAAGCCTTAAAAACTCTTGAAGTGCTGCTCATAACTAAAGCAATGTGGGGTTGCCTTCCTCGATAAGCCTGAATAGACTATAACGATACACCTGTTCAAAAATGGGAATTAAAAGGGCATATGTTGATTTCCAGCACAGTTTAACTTGCTATATGTGTGGCAAAATTGTTATCTGAAATTTGACATATTCATAGACCTTACCAGATGCACCATGTGGGCCGTGTTTCAAGTTATTAGTTTAGCAGATGCATTTTTATAAGCTACAGAATTTTGAGGCTTATTACACCAAAGCCTTTTATTTGACTATTCTCCTTAACTGAAGGGTCTCTCTCTCTCTCTCTCTCTCTCTCTCTCTCTCTCTCACACACACACACACACACACACACATACCCCTGAACAATAGTGCTTAAAAAACATGTCAGCTACAATTCCTCATCTAGCTTGCAGCAGAAGAGCAATGACTGAGTCTCAATGGACCCAGAGTTAAGAACATAGCAGAGCTGTGTTTATTAATTTACTCAGTTTGAATCTTGGTGTCTTAGCCTCTACAATACACCAACTCTTTGGCCAGGAATTTGCATGCCCTTAAAGAAAATCGGTACCAGCAGGAGTGCCAGAACCACTCTGCTGATGTCCCTGCATAGGGCCAGCCGCTTTGCCACCTCATCTCTCCCGATAAGTGGCAGTCATTCTGCTGCCAGGAGGCCAGGTGTGGTGGTGGTGACTCCTTCCTGTGACCCACTCTTGATCACATGTGGTCTGAAACACAGGCCATAGTCACACCATGTTTTTAAAGTGCTATGGTACCACTTTGAACAGGCATGGTTTCCTGCAAAGAATTATGGGAGCCTTAGTTTCTGAAGGGTGCTGAGGGCTACCAGGAGACCTCCCTATTCCCCTCCCAAAGCTACAGTTCCCGGAGTGGTTGAGAAATCAATCCCTCTTCCCAGAGAACTCTGGGAATTGTAGCTCAGGAAGGGGAATAAGGGGTCTCTTAACTGCTCTCCACACTCTTTAACAAGCCACAGGAACCAGAAGCCATGAACATCAAAAAACCCCCGAAGATCATGGCCACTGGTCCCATCACCTCCTGGCAAATAGAAGGGGAAGAAATGGAGGCAGTGAGATATTTTACTTTCTTGGGCTCCATGATCACTGCAGAGGGTGACAGCAGTCACGAAATTAAAAGACTCCTGCTTCTTGGGAGGAAAGCAATGCCAAACCTAGACAGCATCTTAAAAAGCAGAGACATCACCTTGCCAACAAAGGTCCGTATAGTTAAAGCTATGGTTTTCCCAGTAGTGATGTATGGAAGTGAGAGCTGGACCATAAAGAAGGCTGATTACCGAAGAATTGATGCTTTTGAATTATGGTGTTGGAGGAGACTCTTGAGAGTCCCATGGACTGCAAGAAGATCAAACCTCTCCATCTGTCATAGAACCCATGCAGCCATCAGGGCAAACCTTTGTTGTTATCTTTCTGAACAACGGTCCACCAGCAACGCTGCCATTTTTAAGGTAAGCAACTCCTGACCTTGCTTCTAAAGACCCAGCCTTCATTGTGCATCCCAATTGCCTGGGCACCAGGGACACACTGTAAACCGGAGGCAAAGGCATTGTGCCTGTTTGAAGGAAGCTTAAAAAGTGAGCCAGAGACAGGTCTTTCTGCTGTGATGAAAGTTGGCCTACAAACCTTGGCTCGATGCCGATGGTTGACTGGGAAACTGGAATTGGCAGACACAGAGTCTTTGAAATGAAAGGCAAGATGGAGGACTGAGAGCGTCTCTAAATAATTAATTTCAGGTTACTGTGCAATCCAGGAACCCTGTTGATTTTAAAGCCATTAATTGCTTGTTAGGCTCCATTAAGTCACTGGGAAAAGCACGTTGGATTTTTATTTTTTTTAATGCAGAGATTAAACAGCAGCTTTTGCACTTTGGCTAAGCCCCCCCACCCCCAGGGAAAACATCTAAAGGAAAAGGAAAAGATGGTATGCAAATATATTTGTCCATATGTAAGAATTTTGGAAATGACCTATTTTATTTTGAAAATCGTATCTTTCTGGGTCCTCGAACATTGTAAAGTCAGAGCCTTGTACAAGTGTCCCATTACTTACAATGGATTGCTAGGTGCAGAGCTACAGCCCAAAGCTGCCATCCTACCCCCAGTTACCTGGGAGTAAGCCCCACTGAATTTGCTGGAGCTTATTTCTGAGTTGATGTGTGCTGCAGCTGCACAGGCCAATTTAAACAAGAGTGGCTGCTTAGAAGCAAGTCCCTCTGTTCAGTGGGGATTACTCCCCAGATTAAGGGGAGAGAGAAGGATTGCAGCCTATATGAGACACTGGAATGTATGAGTGTATTTATTAGGTGTCCAACTCCCTTTTCAGACAAAATAAAAATCTAAGCTACTTACCACAGTTATTAAAATTCAAATATGCAATGCCGGTGGCAAATGTGTATAAATGTTCACAAATGGAAAATAAAGGCATGGCGGCTTACACGTCCAAAGACAAAGGGAAAGGCAGAAGGTTTGAGAGGAAATGCTAGAGGAGGAATGTGAGATTGACAAATCTAGAATTGGTGAGATACTTACAGGTGCAGCAGCAGCAGGAGAGGAGGCAGTCACTGTAGTTCTTATTTCTATCCCAAATGGGGATTCAAGGCGGCTTGTTGTTGTTGTTTAGTCGTGTCCGACTCTTTGTGACCCCATGGACCAGAGCACGCCAGGCACTCCTGTCTTCCACTGCCTCCCACAGTTTGGTCAAACTCATGCTGGTAGCTTCGAGAACACTGTCCAACCATCTCGTCCTCTGTCGTCCCCTTCTCCTTGTGCCCTCCATCTTTCCCAACATCAGGGTCTTTTCCAGGGAGTCTTCTCTTCTCATGAGGTGGCCAAAGTATTGGAGCCTCAGCTTCAGGATCTGTCCTTCCAGTGAGCACTCAGGGCTGATTTCCTTAAGAATGGATACGTTTGATCTTCTTGCAGTCCATGGGACTCTCAAGAGCCTCCTCCAGCACCATAATTCAAAAGCATCCATTCTTCGGTGATCAGCCTTCTTTATAGTCCAGCTGTCACTTCCATACTTCCATGCATCACTACTGGGAAAACTATAGCTTTAACTCTACGGACCTTTGTCAGCAAGATGATGTCTCTGCTTTTACAACCTTTGAAAACAATAAGTAATAAAAAGGAACCAGTTGAAAATTAGAATGCACCAGAACATTTAGAATTGGCAATTAAGATACAGCTCAGTGACCAGCATCCTCTGCACCTTGGTTTTCAATGGCCCATCTGCATAGGAAGGATTTAGCCCGCTGGTGGAAGGATAATCACAGAACTGGAGAGTTGGAAGGGACCCCGAGGCTCATCTAGTCCAACCCCCTGCAATGCAGAAATCTCAACTAAAGCATCCATGACAGATGGCCATCCAACCTCTGTTTAAAAGCCTTCAAGGAAGCAGAGTCCACCACCTCCCAAGGGAAGAAGAGTTTGGATTTGATATCCCGCTTTATCACTACCCGAAGGAGTCTCAAAGCGGCTAACATTCTCCTTTCCCTTCCTCCCCCACAACAAGCACTCTGTGAGGTGAATGAGGCTGAGAGACTTCAGAGAAGTGTGACTGGCCCAAGGTCACCCAGCAACTGCATGTGGAGGAGCAGGGAATCAAACCCGGTTCCCCAGATTACGAGTCTACCGCTCTTAACCACTACACCACACATGGAGACTGTTCCCCTGTCAAACAGCTCTTACTGTCAGAAAGCTCTTCCTGATGTTTAGTCAGAATCTCCTTTCTTGTCATTTGAAGCCATTGGTACGAATCCCAGCCTCCGGAACAGGAACAACATCTTGTTCCATCTTCCATGTGACAGCCCTTCAGATATTTGAAGTTGGCGATCATATCTTTCCTTAGTCTCCTCTTTTCCAGGCTAAACATACCCAGCTCCTTCAACCTTTCCTCATAACATAACATGAGCCTTGATGGATCCAATGAACAGGTCTATCTTAGCCCAGCATCCTATTGCCTGATTGGTGGCTAATCAGGTTTCAATGGAGAGCCCATGGGCAGGACACAAGAGGAACAGCTCCCTCCGAAGTTGTTCCCATCAGTGGCTTACTGCCTCCTAACCTCATGGATGACTATAGCAGCCATGGCTAGTTGCCACTGAGAGACTTATCCTCCGCAATGGATCTGCGGATCTGCACACAGAAAGATTGTCCAGAGAAGCACAAGCCCCCTTTTCATGGAAGCCAATTTAGCTGCTGAATCTGGGCATCTTAAATGAATATACTTAATTCAAGAGCCGTTCATTTTATTTTCTTTAAAATATGATGCTGCTTATACTGTCACGAGTGCATCAGCATTTGCAGCTAACCCTAACTTAGAATTCCTGTAGGCAGTCTTTTCCTTGACAGTTTTATTAACATATGCCCTGCAGTGACATAAATCTAATGGGGTTTTTTGTAATTAAATATTTATAGGGATCAATAAAGCAATGAGTTGCAAAAAAATTACAAGGGGGAACGCACACATAAAATGGTTATTAAGGGATCTCAGTTTTACTTTCACTCATTCTATTGTTACTACTAATGAAGAAAATGTTCACCATGGTAGGTTGAAGGAGGTCAAAAACATTGCAGGAGTCTTAATTTGTCCATTCTCCACC